AACTTACCCTTACCTCTTGTGCCACTTTATCCCACTCCCTATAGATGTGAACTATTTTGGGCAGGGCCCTCGACACCCTCTGTTCTTGTGCATCCAATTTGCTTTGTTATAAATACTTGTGTGCTAGTCCATCTATTGTACAGCACTATAGAATTTGTTGGCGCCTTATAAATAATAATAATAACAATAAGGCAAGAATGTATTAAGATCCCACAGGGCCTAAGGTTTGTTATCAGTTGAGCCTTCCATTTACTCTTAGTATAGGTATGGCGAATGGAGCCAAGCTTGGACTAGTATCTTCATGGCACCCAAAGGCTTGCCAACTATGGCAGGGCTGATATAAAAATATGTAGGGAGCAGGTGATGACTTGATGGTGGGCATAGACATGAAGCAAATCGTGTCACTGACAATGTTTCTGTGGCCTTCAATAACAGGCTGAGCATGTGTTGAGTGCTGCTGAAGCACCTGTATATAGTGCTTAAATGCCCTGTAACTCATCAAAATTGCTGCACAGGCATACTTAAAGGGACATTTTAGGCACCATGACCATTTTGTCCCATTGATTTGGTTATAGTGCCTTGATTGCTTCCAATGTTAAATACTTTTTGAGCAGTTAACTGAATTAGAGTCCATGGACTCCGACAACCTGGCCTACACTGGAGGTATGGCTAAGGCATTGACTACACACTTCCTTAAGCATACCAAATAGTCTGTGATAGGCTGAAAAAGCCAGCCAATGCTTCACAGAAGGGATTGGCTGCTGTAAAAAAACTGTTTAATAAACACTCCAGACACAGAAAGCACTTCAGTTTACTGAAGTGCTTTATATGTTTGGAGTCTGTCATTTTTGACAGTTTATAAAAGTGATTTCTTTAGAAATCAGCACTTTCATAACTACGGGCAGAAAGTCCTCCCTCTCGGTCCCTCTGATAGCCAGGGATGTTTTCTTCCGCTTCCATTAGGCCCACGGACTGCACCTGCTTTCCTCCTTCTCAATGAGAAATACTATGGCTCCAGCACAGAGTATTTTCAAAGATTTGACATTCCTCCAGTCTGTGCATACATGTTTACTTTGTGGGTATATCTATTAATTAGCTTTTTTTTAAAAAAAATTTTAAATCATTCAGTGTAGTGTTCGTTTAACACTGAATGGAAGGATGGTATCAGGATACTCCAGGCACTATGACCACTTCAATGAGATGAAGTAATTACAGTGCTACAGTATCCCTTTACTTACGCACTTATACTTCAGTTTCCCTTATTTCTCAACACACCAGATGACAGAGCTGCTCTGTCAGGTTATTGGGGGGATTGAGGAGAAACTGTGTCACAGATGTAGATTTTGTGCCTTGACATGTCTGGGGCCATTAAGAGCTGCATTAGGGAACCTTATGTTTTCTTTTTTTTTACTGATTATGCATCAAGGAACCATGTTGACCTATTAGGACATACCATTGTATATGTTAGAAATGCTACACTCCCAGTGTTTCCATAGGACTAACACAGTACATCAATACTTCCCACAGTCAATGTAAACTCACCAGGGCTCAGCAGAAAACGGAGTAAACCTCTCAACAGGCATGTAATTGTGTGGGTGTGACATATCTGCACAAAATATTGGATGTTTTTGTGTTTAGACTGCTGCGGAATATACGTGGGTATTGTAGTGCATGTTCACAGTGTTTAGACTGGAGCATGGTACATTAAAACATTACAATTCTTTTTTTAGAACAGAATCAAGTAGAGTTTATTTACTAAGCTGTGGATTGTGGGGAACTGACATATGGGTAACCATGAATAGACTAAAATGGCTGAGCTGGAGAATATTCTGAGCTTTACTTTTGTTTTTTTATTATCAAGTGCCCTCAACTCCAACCAATTTCAGGGTTTTGTCCCGATTTCATTCCTGGTGCTCCAGATCTGGGAACATAAGAACATAAGGTAATAGGACCCTAACCAACACAGTGTAAGCACATCATTACTCAAACTTGCATTATGGCAAAGCCTTAGAAAAATGCAGAAAGCTTTTCAGCAGAGCCCTGCATGGTCTCCATGGGTTGGGCCAGCTAGAGAGGCTGTCAGTCATTCCTGGCATGTGTTCATGCCAGGCTGACATTAACATTCACAGGTCAACCCTACCCCTATTCCAGGCAGCTTCACCTATTTTAGGCCTAAGCAGTGAGTGGTGTGACTGGCATGTTTCTTTAGGGCTGCCCACAGTACTGATTTCATAGCTCTAATGCTAGGAGGTATCAGTAAACTATTCACAGTAGAAAGCCTGACCGCATTATTTATAAGCAAGCTTATTCACTGAAGTGAGAATAAAATATTTGTCCAGGAAAGTATGGTGGATCTTGCAACCCTACAATAAGGCGTGGTTGCCAAATCCACCATGTTTTACTGGACACACATTGCTGTTATTATTATTGCCATTTATATAGCGCCAACAGATTCCGTAGCGCTTTGCAATATTATAAGAAGGGGGATTTAACTATAAATAGGACAATTACAAGAAATCTTACAGGAACGATAGGTAGAAGAGGACCCTGCTCAAACGAGCTTACAGTCTATAGGAGGTAGGGTATAAAACACATTAGGACAGGAAATAGCAATCAAATAAGGTGGGAGTGAAGCAGAGCTGGAGGAGAGAATAGAGTGCTGCCCTTCAGGAGAGAGCAAGACACAGGTGTGTAAGGTACAGGTTACTCTGGGAGGCCATAAGCTTTCCTAAAGAGATGGTTTTTAAGGCACTTCTTAAACGATTAAAGACTAGGTGAGAGTCTGATGGTGGTAGGCAGGCTATTCCATGGGGAGGGAGCCGCCCGCGAGAAGTCCTGCAAGCGTAAGTTGGCCGTATGGGTGCAAGCAGCGGACAGGAGAAGGTCACGGGCAGAGTGGAGAGACCGAGAAGGGGCATACCTATTGATTTGTGAAGAGATATAAGAGGGGCTAGAATTGGTCAATGCGTTATGGGTATGGGTTATCACTTTGAATTGACTTCTATAGGATACAGGAAGCCAATGTAAGGACTGACAGAGGGGTGAGGTGTGAGAGGACCGACTAGAGAGGAACATCAGTCTGGGGGCAGCATTCATTACCGACCGTAGCGGGGCAATATGGCTTTTGGGAAGACCAATTAGGAGAGGGTTACAATACTCCATGCGGGAAATTACTAGAGCATGGACAAGCTCCTTGTAGCATCTTGCGTAAGAAAGGGGCAGATGCAGGCTATGTTTTGTTGTGTAGAATATTGAATGACAAAAGCAGCAACAACAAAAAAAAGATGAAAAACAAAACCCTCATCCTTAGTCCCAGCTTTTGGGCATAAACCAAAAATCACAGGTGTTTTATTATTTAAACTAAGATAAATAATTACATAGGCTGTTACATTGTCTGAAAAAAGCCATGCAGCCCTCAAGTTTTGCTTTTCTCTGTATTTTATGTAGGATACATTTACTGGATTCTCTAAAATAGGATTTGTCAATGAAACTGAAATCAATGTGAATTTCAATTTTCAGGCCAAAATATCCAAATTGAGTAGCTGAAATATCGACCCCCTCCCCCCCACCCCCTTACAAAGGAATCCCACAGTATTTCCTGGACACATATAGCTTCGTTTTGCTGATGGGCAGCACATAAAAACACTGCCCTATGGTATGCAACATATACTGTGTCAATGTGAAATTAATGAACGGATTTCCTTCTTGTACCATGTAAATTATACATAAAGGCAGGGTAGGAGGTTTCATGGGCTGTTCCAAGGCATGTAAGAGTAACCCGGATAACGTGGTGTGTCTGACTGTCCTAATTCATTCTTTTATGTGTACAGGTGCAGCTATAACAATTGCTTTCCTACATCCACCTGTAATCAGGTGATGCTGTGTGTGATAGAGTACTAGGCCCAGGCTGTTTTTTTTATTTGGGGTGGGGGGTGATGGGGAGGGTGTCTCATTACAGACATCAGACAATTCTATCAATCCCCATAAGGCTATGTAACTTCCTAGATTTCTGGCTAAATAGCAGATTTTATATATGGTGCAAAATAAAATAAAATAAATATATATAATATCAATAGATTGCTGAGTGATATTTTAATTCTAAAATATTTTCCAGGTATGCCGGCGACGTGACAGCTGACATGTCCCTGTCTCTTTAAATGGCCGGCTTTCGGCGTCAACCAGAGCAAGGGTGTCCATGTGGAGCAGCTCCATGCCTTGTTGTCCCGGGTTGTGATTGGCTGAACTAGGGATGACATATTTTAATAAGATGCAAACGCACTGCAGGGGGGCGGGGCTGCTACAAGCGGCGGGATGGAATGCCATGGAATGGATGTTTAGTAGAGCATTAGAATGTGGAATGCTCGAGTTAGCAACGAGTTGGGATGTACCATCTCCATTTACAGGAGGGGGGGGGGGGAGTAGGGATTTACTACTTTTTCGCTATATTGCATGACCCACTTTCAAGCTCTCCAAAATTACATCACCCTGTATCCATCATATTATATCAGATGCACGTTAGCATTGCTATTAGTTAACCCTTCCTTACTTGGCTGTGCGTCACAGGAAAGGGTTAAAGTCTTGTCATTTGTTCTAACAGCAGCATACATGTGCCTTACAAACACATGACAACACAGAGGGGGTTGTCACAAAAAGACATGTGGGTTGGGCTGTATTTACATTAACACTATTCATTACAAATAAATATATATATATATATATTCACACACACACTATATATATATACAATACCTGATATATATATATATCTATCTATATTTCCAAATTGTTTGTGATAGTTACTTTAATGTGTCGCTAATAATCTAAATCCTCCAAATGTAAGCCTGCATACACAGCACTTTATACACAATGCACAGCTATGGTCTTGTTACTGTAACATATTTAATGCTATTTATGTATCCATGGTGATGATAATAACAGTAGTACTAGGTATTCTTCATGCAGCAGCTCAGCACATCGTACTGCATCCTCCCCTGTGACTCCCCCCCCCCAGATCCAGTGCCCGTGCCTCCCCTGTCCGGGTTTTAGTCCTGCCCTATAGTAGCTCAGGGCTCTGTTAGTCCCTTTTTTTTCTTGTTGTGTTTCTGTTACTCATCGCCATCTTGTTGCAGCCCTTTTCTTGTCTGGGAGATCCGTGGGGGGGTCCGGGTTATATTTTTTGTTGCCTTTATTTATTATTTGAAGATTTTTTTCCTCACTGGGGAGGGGGAAGGGAATTGCCACAGTCCCTCCATTGCCTGGTTTTGTGCTGTCGGATTAGGAAGTAAGAAGGAGCAGGGATCTTACAGTGAGTGCTGAGAAATGAGCCTGGAGACCTTATTACAAGCAGCCTTGTTCCTAGAATGGCAAGCCCAGCAACAACAACAGAAAACACGTGGTGAGTGGGCTAACATGTTACATGTGTGCTGGGCAGGGTTGTGCCAATTGGCATGTCAGTAGCAAGGCACCGGCTTCTAGTTACTGCATTGGCTGTATGAGCTGTACCCTGTGTGCAGATGATTGCACCCCGTGTACTTTATGTATTCTGCACACTGGATCCTATTTGAAAATATTAATTGCTCCCTATGTACATGTATTAGGTGCACAGATCAGCCTGTATATTGCTCCACATTGTATCTTAATGTACTGCATGCTAGCTGCACACTGGATCATGTATTCTTTACTTGCCCCCATTACTGTAAAATCATACACTGTATTCTGTATTTATGGGGGAGCATACCCCTGCAACGTTATACACAGAGGATAGCTACACGTTACTCTACGTGCATTAATCAGCTCCATATATTAACTCTATATGTATGGATCTTTTTTAGATGCCATGTACATGGGTGACTTTTAGACTGGACCCAGATAATATGGATGAGCTGTACACTGGGTGCTGTACGCTGGTCGTTGGGTATATATATTAAGGGTGGACTGTACACTGGGTATACATGCAGAATGAGCTGTACATTAGGTGTACATGGCTGGTGAGCTGTACACTGGTCTTTGGGTATACATTAAGGGTGGGCTGTACACTGGGTGTACATGGAGGATGAGTTTTGTACATTAGGTTACATGGCTGGTATGCTGTACACGGTGTACATGGCTGGTGAGCTGTACTGGGTGTACATGGAGGATGAGCTGTACACTGGGTGTACATGGAGGATGAGCTGTACACTGGGTGTACATGGAGGATGAGCTGTACATGGCTGGTGAGCTGTACATGGCTGGTGAGTTGTACACTGGGTGTACATGGCTGGTGAGCTGTACATTATTATACTGCCTGCCTTTCTCTTGGTGTTGTATATGAGCTATCAATGTGAGCATTAACACGGATTGCCCTGGCCGGGGCAGATTGCTGGCTCTGGCTAGCTCTGGCTGGGGTTTCAGTGCAGGGCGGTGGCAATCCTCCACAAGCTGTTTTGCATAATAGGCTGACATGGGTTGTCATATGACCGGCAGCAGCCTCCCCTCCCCCGGACTCCTTCATCGCCGGGCCCTTCCTGGACAGCCTGGCTATCCCTCACTCCCTGCCGGGCCCCCGCCCCCCCGGGCCCCCTCGGACCGGTCCAGTCTCCCTGAGTGCGCGGATTCCCCGGCCGAGCCGTGTTACAGGGTGTCTGCCAGCGGGCCGCCGGCAGTGAGCGGGTTACTGCGCCCTGGTGACGTGTCAAGCCCCGCCTCCTCCCCCCACGTGCGCCGGAGACCCGCCCGGGGAGGGAGTGCTCGCGCTGTGAGCGGGACCTGCACATAGACAGGGCTGGGCGGGGCTAGCACATAGGACTGGGCGGGGCCTGCTCATAGACAGCGCTGGGCGGGGTCAGCACGCGCTCACTGCATGATCCACGTAACACATGATATCCCCCCCCCCCCAACTCCCCACCACTACTGGCTGAGAGTCTGCCATCAGCCGCCACCATGTTCTCCCCACACATAGAGCCTACTGCCTGGCAGTGTATGAATGCTACATACTACTACCAGTCCCATCAGCCAGGACTAGTGATATGTGTATGAAGTATAGTAAACCTGGCTGCTCTCACTGTGCCGCTTTTACCTCATTTATTTTATTTTTATATTTCCCTTATGCCCACTGTTTCTTAAAGATCAACTCTGCGCACGCACTACAGGTCTATAAGGGACAGGGCACACACAAACCCACTGTTTAACATTTTATAAGGCTACTTAAAATCATCCATCTCACCGGACACGGGGATTCAGCTCCGCCGTATCGTGTTCAGCCCACCACTGCTTCACGGTACCCCGATAACGGGTCCTACACTAAATCCAATGTGGGAGACAAAAGTGCTTTGAAGTGGTCATGGTGCCTGGATTTTGTATACGCAGCATTCGCTATAAAACATTGCACATACTGAGTTTAACTCCTTCGCTGCCGCGGGGTGTAATGCCGCATCCGGCAGTGTTATTAGGGCGTCATTAGCCAACCCAGAATAAGAGTTACCGGCTGGCTAATGTGAATTCTATGTATATTTTATGCACAGCATGTCATTCGTTGGCTGACAGCGGTCAGGTCGACGCTCTCAGCCAGTGAATGGTGATGAGATCAGCGCCTTACTCTGCAGAAGCCTGTGTAAGTCACCAAAGTTGCAAGGAGCCTTGTCAGCTGCGCAACCAGGGAAGCAGGCAAACCGTTTTCCCATTACCAGCAAATAGAGCCAGAATACTTCTCTTTTCTTCCTTGTGCCGCATGTCAATACCAGGGTGCCTCCATTTTGTTCTCCTCTGTCCATGATGTCTGCAGCCTTGCTTAAGCTCCGCCAATTACCGAACAATTTACCCTATTTTAATTTTTCTGTATAACTAACATACTGAAGTGAATTTATAACACTTTTTGGAAACAGTCAGAAAAGGATTAGTTAAAAAAAAAAAACCTAAACCTGCAAAGTGGCAGTGTTGCTTTAACACAGTACTGTAATTTTTCAGTATTTCATAAAGATATAATCATTATGAAATACTGACTCTGACTGCATTAGAATCTCATTGACTCATGATCAAGGCTGAGGTGGACAAAAGGTGAAGCGCCTCAGTCTACTTTTGTCCAATCCCAGCAGCTGTCACAAGTGACATGTTAGTTTAAGGCATCGGCCTATAGAAGGCCTTGCAGGTTACTCTATAGACATCAAAGTTGTACTGTCACTCGTGATTAAAAGAGCACAGCACTGACACAAGTCATGGTAAATTTAAAGGGACACTCCAGGAACCCAGATCACTTCTGTCCATTGGAGTGGTCTGGGTGCCAACTCCCATCACCCTTAACCCTGCAAGTGTAATTATTGCAGTTTTTAGAAACTGCAATAATTACCTTGCAGGGTTAAGTCCTCCTCTAGTGGCTGTCAGACAGCCACTAGCTGGACTTCCAGGTTCTTAAAACATGAAAAGTGTTTTGAATGATGCTGAACGTCTTCACGCTATGCATGAGGACCTCCAGCGTCTTCCCGTGGGGAGGTCTAATGCGTGCACGCGGCCATGGCCACGCATGCGCATTAAGTCTCCCCCGTGGGCGGAGCCTGACCCAGCGCCGTGGGACATCGGCGCTGGATTCAGGTAAGTCACTGAAGGGGTTTTAACCACTTCAGCAACATGGGGTGGGAGGGAGGGGGACACTGCAGGATTCTGCAGTGCCAGGAAAACGGATTTGTTTTCCTGGCACTGGAGAGTCCCTTGAAGCTGGTTACTGCATGGTAACACCACTCCCTTACACCATATTACCATTACGTTTTCCTGGGCAAGACATCTAAAGGTGTATATATCTGCAGTGCATGCAGACCTGATTCACAATACATTTATTCATATGGGTAGATCACTATTGCTTCATACAGCTTGCTATTCACTGCATGCATACATGCAATTCACAGGCCTGACGTGTTCAGTGTACTTTGCATCACTCACGTAAGTCAGAGCCTCTCTTTATTCACTAGATAGTCCATTCAATCAGATAATGTAACTCATACTAGCTGTATAGTATAATGTATATACAGACACCAGTACTAAACATAAATAGCCATACATACATGTAATCTCTTGAGAGTACAAGTTAATAGCACATTTTATGCCAAAATAAAGCTAATTGGAGGGAGGGACTTGCTCCTTGCATTGCCTAGAGATGGGTTGTTAATCACTGGCCAAGAGCAACGTCTTGACACACTGTATTGATCTTTATCTGTTGGGTTTCTTTGCCTAAAGACCTTTCACACCCTTGCCACCAGCAGTGTGAATTACATTGGGACTGCAACACTACTCCTACACAAGCTGAGACTGGACACTGTACAGTACTGTTACCGTGTGAGGACTTGGCAGAATTCGCAAAGACACCCCAGCGGTGACATCGCTGCTGGGGTTCCGGTGGCCGTGAGGGCAGGTAAAAGTGAGATGTACTTACCTAAAACTGTCTCTTGCAGGCATGGCCATCTTCCTCCAGCCATTCCTCTTTAACTAGTGCCAGGAGCCGACGTCACTGCTGTATTCTCGCGCATGTGAACAGCATTGAGTTCTATGGAAGATTCCGCTGGATGTTCCATAGACAGGTCCAATTTCCTGCAGCCGTTACGTAGACGGCGGCAGCTCTGCCCAATGTCTAGAAGGGTCAGACATAGGAAATATACAGAGACAAAGTTGTCCCTTTATATCACTGGAATTTCAGTGAAAGATGGAAGTGCCTCTTTAATTATTTTGAGTAGTCTGTGCATTATACATTATAAAATCTGTGTAGTACAGCCATAGAGACTATAAGTATGAGCAATATGAGTTGATCTCCTCCATGCATGACATAATATAGCATTCTCACTAAACATTAAACACCTGCTGCAGTGGGGCTGCAAACACGTTCATAAAATAATTAATAAAACTGTGAATGCGACTCAGTCTGCCAGTGCTTTAGAGCTGTTGGATCTGATAGAATTTCTAAAGATGGCATAGTCAAGCTGTTCAGGGCTGTCCTGATTAGCACTATAGACCTTGTTCGATTTTTGGTAGAAAGCGCCCCATTTTGCACATCTCTCACACTGGGAGGCTGCTGAGGTATTCACACTGTGCTTTAGGCTTATCGCCAGCTGTTCTACAGTACCACTGACATTTAATGAAGCTGCTAGAAAATTCGTATGTGCTGCAAACGCTTCAAACTCCTAGTCGAGTGCGGATGAGACCCATCGTGGCGTGTCCTAAAAAGACCCGATGGACTTGTGTGCATGATTTGAGATACATGATATTGTGAATAATTTATAATCCACTAGAATTTCATCACTTGTGTGAGCTGACTAGGAATGTAAAAAAAAATAGCGTACCGTATAAAACATCTTTAAAAATAAATAAATGTAAAAATCAAGAAACGATTGGTTGCATAATGTCTGCTTTCTGCACCATAAAATCCCTTAGCTGCAGCGTCCACGCGTTTGATAATTTGCATTGTTTGTATTCACTGTTCTCCCAGATGTGACTTAAAGGACGATGACATGCTCACCTTGATCACACATGTGGCATACATAATTTGGGCTATAGATGTGTTTTCCCCTATCGTTTCAGATTTCTGATATACATAGTCACCTATGAAGGGCCGAGTACCAGACGGATAGCTATAATATTACGCTAGTATATTTATGCTACATTGATATAATGAACAAATGCGCTTTTTATAAGACAGACGCACTGCTGCATCTTCTACAGGGAAGATATGAATCCCTTGAATCTAGTTATACCGTGCCCCCCACCCTGAACACACATATTGTGGGAGGTACTAATATATTTTCCTTCTTCATTCTGCCCTTCCTAGCTGCTCTGTCTGGTTCTTGGGAGAGCCCTCTTGAGTACTTGAGTGGGGGAAGGGCAGACAGCACAGGGCAATCCTTTTTAACCAACTTCCTGCTTATTGCAGAGCTAGTAATCTGAGCTTTCCTACCCTTATTGGAGGCTGTTGCTGAACACTAGGTGCTTTCTATATAGCAGAAGGGGAAGCATTTTTAGACATTGTTTGCCGTAAAATAACACATTAGCTGGTTTTAGAAAAATGCTGTGTTTTTACCGCAGAATGCATACATATTTCTTACTCTGAAGTATGTACTGGATGTGTGTATTCATCTTTCATTTATATGCTTTTGAAATTCTAAACTGCATTTCATTGGTGTGTGCTTCCCCTATCTATACCTTCTCCTTGCCAGAAACATTCTAATGTTAAGAGATTCTCCCCCTTCCTCCCCCTCTTAATCATATGATATACAGTTTACTTACTACAATGCACAAGTTTAACCCTGCTTTGTACGACGTTGTCTCTATATATTACTGTTTACTGAGATCAGTAAGCTATTTTTGAAAGTCCCAGGTTTTTGTTTGTGACTTTAAGCAAATCACTGAATAATTTTACCCTAAAATTATCGTTACAAAGACATAATTGAACAGGCTATACAATATAGGCTATAAAATGTTATGTGCGCAGTCTGCAGTAGTAAAAAAAAAAAAAATTGTATTTCTCTGCAATGTTGTCCTTGTCGTTTTCTGGTTGCGGTGTTTAAAAATAAATAAATAAAATCCCTGAGCGCTGCATATTAACCATAGATCACCCTCAATTCAGCATTCCTGTAAATATATTGTGGGGGAACCTGTTGAATATTTGCCAGAAATTACATGTGGAGGGATTATGGAGAAGCACTAGAGAACAGGTTGTGCAAAGCATGTTTGCTGTTTAATTAACATGTTCTTTTTGTTATATGATAAGAGCCATAGTTGCCAACTGTCATAAATTTGCTGGGGCAGTCCCATGTTTTGGGCTCATGCCCCAGCAAAAATAAGTCTTGGGTCTTATCCCAGATTCCAGGACATCCACAGGGAGGTGGATAGAAATATGTCTTTCTTTAATATTTTCTTGTGTGTATTTGCTAGTTTGTGTGTGAGCTGTCAAGCAATGTCATTTCCCTCAGACGTCACCAACGGCTGCAGGGAAATTTGCTCTATCTATAAAGGATCCTCAATGAGGTACTCTCGCGAATGCGCAAGTTTACAGCACTGGCAGAAAGACCATGGCGGTGCCCGTGAGGGACAGGTTCAGGTAAGTAAAACTCTAAACGGCGATGTCACCAACACTGGTCTTTGCAAATTATGCAAAGTCCACAGGCGGTGACAGACCTGCTTTAATTGAGGATTGCAGTGAATTAAAAATGAATATAAAAATTTAGGCCACAATTGGGGAAACTCTCCAGGTAGATTCTGTTTCAATTTGGCTATTTTGGCCTTTTAGTTTAAATTCACTTTCATTTTCCAGCTTTAGTGAATAATCCAATACGTGTGTTAACCTTGCTCTAATCCTTTTTTAGTATGAGAAAAAACACCCTTTTTTTTAATTTTGCCATTTTATTTTAATGTATTGTCATTATTGGTGGAAATCTACTGTGTTACATGGAGTGACCAAAAATGATGTATTTTTGTGGATTGTGTTGCACATGTTTGAGCAGCACAGTCTGAATTTAAAAGGTCTATCGAGGGTAGATTAACTTTTTTTTTTTTTTTTTTAAATTACTCCCCTCTCTTGCAGCGGCACTCCAGGCTTGCTTCTTACACAGCAGCATTCTAAGGAACTAGAAAATGGTTCTCATCCAATCCAGATCCTCTTGTTCTAGATCTCCAACTTAATGAGACATGGGCGCAGCAGATTCTTCTGTACACATTCAGTGAGAAAAACTGTAAAGCAAATATTCACACATGCACAGAAAATCCTGTTGCTTCTCATTCATAATAAAAATAAGAATTAGTACTCGTGCGAGTGAATGTAAGCAGATAGGTTTATATTCACTTGTGTTAGTATTTCTTGTTTATTATTGAAATGAGGCGTTTTCAGCAAATCATTGCATAATGTGCCCAGTGCCGTACAAAAAAACCCCGTGGGAGGGTGATATGTTTCCAGGAACTATAAAGCTGGCTGAACATTTCCTAGCGTGTCTCTCCTTCCATGTTATAGATAGAAGAAGTGGGGGTTAAGTTAAAAAAGGCTTTGAATATTTTTATGTGGATTTTAGAACAGGGTCGTGGAATACATAGTTACACAGCTGAAAAGAGACATGTGTCCATCAAGTTCAGCCTTTTTTACATCTGTTTTTGCTGTTGATCCAAAAGAAGGCAAAAAACCTAGTTTGAATTGCTTCCAATTTTGCAACAAACCAGGAAAACATTCCTTCTCGACCCCAGAATGGCAGTCAGATCTCTGAACTATTTCTGAATGAACATTCTGTTTTTGCAAATATTCATCCAGTTGCTGTTTAAACATCTGTACAAACTTTGATAAAACCACTTCTTCAAGCAGAGAATTCCGCATCCTTATTATTCTTACTATAAAAACCCTTTCCTTTGCCTGCCATGTTGGTTCCCAGTCCTCCAACCTCCCGCTAGAGATCCCTCTGCAGCAAAGTAATATCCTGCTCACATTGTGTTACTTTACAGAGTTTTGTGTCATCTGCAAACACTGAAACATGGGCTTGAAAAAAGAGTGGTCTGCTATTTTTTCAAGTGTAGAAAAAAATACAAAGACAAAGTATTTCAGCGTGACTCATCGTTCTACATTATTTTAATAATATTGGCGCTTGAGAACAGGTTTGATACTATGGTATCTAAGTAAGTGATTATGCAACAAAGCTGAGCTGTGGAAACAATTTGATAATCATTCAAGTAGTGTTGCTACTATGTTGATCAGAGATTTGCAACCCTTTTTGAAACAAGTTTCTCAACTATATTTACAGGAACACTCCATTGAATTATTATTTTTTTTTAACAATTTAGTAGCTATACCCCCAAAGAAAACATGCATATAGGTTCTGGGGGGGTTTGAAACAAATGACTTGCATAAGCTGCAGAGCTGCTATCTGCAGTCTTTGCAAGCCCTCCCCTCAATTCCAGACTCAGACTTTTAGTCTGTACTAGGAAACCACCCACTACAGCCTTATCATTGAGAAGCCCCTGTGCTTTCTTATGCTTCTCGATGACTGGTACAAATATGACAGGCTCCAGACCCTTAACGCACTTCTGCAAAGGATTGGCGCTGGATGCATCAGGTGGTCTAGAAGTTCACTTTGCATTTGCTATTTGAAAACAATTTAACAGAAAATGGTATTCATGGCTTCCTAGTTCCAGAGCCTCAGTAATAAACTTGTAGTTCTGGTTCTTGGAGAGTCACTTTTAAGCTGACGTTGTCTAAAATGAAAACATTGAAAAGTCCTTATTATGCAGCACTATGTCGAAATGACAAGAGGCATGGCCTGTGTGCTCAATCGCACCCAATACCATGAATATTTATCAACCTTTGCTTTATGCAAATGGTGCCTCGTTCAATATCCCTCCTTATATAACCTCCTCTAACCCTCCCCCCCAAAAAAAACAGATTGTCTGACTAACAACAAAGTGCAAATACAATTTCAAACTTTATCTGGAGAATCCCCCGGATGGAATTTAGAAGTGCCTCTCAGTCTGGCTGGATAATACTTGCAGTGAACTTGGAGTGTCTTTCAGTCTTAACAAGAATTCTACGCACCAGTGTCTGGGTTTTTTCCCCCCTCCATTTTCCTCCTCCTATCCATTCTACCGTGTAGATCAGTGGTAGTCAACCTTTTTCCACTTACCGCCCACTAATGCATCTTTCTTGATGGAAAAATTTCCTTACCGCCCACCAGTTTTCGCGCAAGCGCGGAATATTTTTTAGAAAGGAGGGTGTTTTAAAAAATACATAAATGAACGTACATTTATCTTTTTATTTCTACTTTATGCATGTTTATAATGTTTTTAACTTTATAAAGTTTAATGAGGAAGCAATAAAGTAAATTGAACTTACCTTTACTAGTGATTAATGAGATCCTTGAGGTTGATGCTGCGAGACTAAATATTTGATATCTGGTTCGATTTTCATAAGGAACAAACGAAGGTCTCCTCTTTCAGTGATAATCGGAAGACTTCTTTGTTTGCTCATAAAATGATTTCTCATCTGTGCGTCAGCTCCCCTCCTCTCCCTCCTCAATTCCCCTTCCCACCTTTTTCCCCTTTTTTCTATTTTTTAACCTTCCTTATAGCAATGCCCAGTAGGAAGGCTGAGCTAGGTAGCCCACTTACTATTATTAGTCAACAACAATTCTCTCCTTTTCCTTTTCTTTCCTTCTCCTTTTTTACAAGTACTCTACTCCTTCTTTCCTCTATACTAGAAGTACTCTACTCCTTCTTTCCCCTATACTAGAAGTACTCTACTCCTTCTTTCCCCTATACTAGAAGTACTCTACTCCTTCTTTTCTCCTATTCTACAAGTACTCTGCACCTTCTTTCTTCTATTCTACAAGTACTCTGCTCACAGGCAAACACATACACACACACACACACACTCACATTGAAACACATACACACAAATATACACATACTCACACATGCACTTACAGACACTCACACATGCACAGACAGACCCACAGACACACACACACTTACTGACACACACACATACACTTACAGACAGACACATACACTTACAGACAGACACATACACTTACAGACAGACACATACACTTACAGACACACATACACTTACAGACACAGACACACACATACACTTACAGACACAGACACACACATACACTTACAGACACACACACATACACTTACAGACACACACACATACACTTACAGACACACACACATACACTTAGAGACAAACACATGTACACACAAATTATTAATATTAAATATCCACCCAGCCTCCCTACCTGGAGAGCTGGTGTGGATCTGTCCCTGGGGTCCAGTGGGGCTTCACTTAGGCGGGCGGCTAATCAGACGCAGCGAGGGAGCTCTAACCTCTCTGCTCTGCTCCCTCGCGGACTGTCTACGGATGCCGGGAGCCGGAATATGACATCATATTCCGGCTCCCGCGGCATCAGCAAACATCGCGCGAGGGAGCAGAGCAGAGAGGTTAGAGCTCCCTCGCCGCGACTGATTAGAACGCTGCCATGCCGGGGGGTCCAGAAGGTGGCCTGGCAGGAGGGAGCGCTTCCTCCTGCCGGTCACTGAAGACTTGCGCATGCAGAGCCGCTCGCGCCCGCCCAAAAGGAGAAATCCTCTTAAAAAGAGGATTTAGCCTCAGAAATCCCTACCGCCCACCTGGAATCCTAAAACGCCCACTAGTGGGCGGTAGGGACCAGGTTGACGACCCATGGTGTAGATTGTTAAATATCCCTTTTAAAAGAGTGTTTGTTTTAGTGTCTTCTCTTTATAAGTAGGGATTGACCGATATTGATTTTTTTAGAGCCCATACGGATACTGATATCTTGTGAACTTTCAGGCAGATATAATTTGCCGATATTCTGTACATTTACCATTTTGGAAAAAAAAACCTATTTCTAAAGGTAAATGCACAAAATATACATGCCACGTGTAGTGGATGCAGTGTGCTTAGACAGGGGAGCTGTGTGTGTTTGTGTAGTGGATGCAGTGTCTGTGTAGTGTGTGTGTAGTGGATGCAGTGTATGTTTGTGTAGTGTGTGTGTGTTGTGGATGCAGTGTGTGTTTGTGTAGTGTGTGTGTTGTGGATGCAGTGTCTGTTTGTGTTGTGTGTGTGTGTGTTGTGGATGCAGTGTCTTTGTAGTGTGTGTGTGTGTGTAGTGGATGCAGTGTGTGTTTGTGTAGTGTGTGTGCTGTGGATGCAGTGTGTGTTTGTGTAGTGTGTGTGCTGTGGATGCAGTGTCTGTGTGTGTGTTGTGGATGCAGTGTCTTTTTGTGTAGTGTGTGTGTGTGTTGTGGATGCAGTGTCTGTTTGTGTAGTGTGTGTGTGTTGTGGATGCAGTGTGTGTTTGTCTAGTGTGTGTAGTGGATGCAGTGTGTATTAGTGTAGTGTGTATATAATGAAAGCACAGTGTTTGGGTAGTGTGCGTAAAGTGAATGCTGTATATACTAAATGCAAAGTGTGTGTGTTTGTGTAGTGTGTGTGTGTATATGAATGCAGAGTGTGTGTGTATTTATGTAGTGTGTGTATAGTGAATGTAGTGTGTTTATATAGTGCACACTACACAAACACACACTGCATTATATAAACACACTACACAAACACACTGCATTATATACACACACTATACAAACACACTGCATTATATATGGAGTGTGTGTGTGTGAGGGGGCATTTTTTTTATTAAATTATTATTTTTATTATATTTATTTAATTATTATTTATTTTTGTTGTCCCCCCTCCCTGCTTGTTGCCTGGCCAGAGAGGGGGGATATAGCATTCCCTGGTGGTCCAGTGGCATTGGCTGAGCTGTGGGGGGGCGGGCAGCAAGCATTTACTCACCTCCCAGCAGCTCGTCCAGCTCCCCAGTGTAAGTCTCGCGGCCAGCGTTCCGTGCGGGTCTTGCGAGAGTTACACTGGGGAGCTCCTGGGAGATGAGTAAGCGCTTGCTGCCCCTCCCCCCCAGGACCGCCGGGTTTGTAATAAGCCTGGCAGTCCTAGGAGGTATTATCGGCAATATCGGTATCTGAATTGGCCGATACCGATATTGCCGAAAATACCGAATTTTGTCCGATTATATCGGTAAAACCGATAATCGGTCGATCCCTATTTATAAGCATGGGTAGACATGTCTAATGTGGAGAGGGATACAGGGCATAAATTCCACGTACTTACAAAAGCCATTAAAGGCAGCCAACCCACTAGCACTTTTTTTTTTTTTTTTCTTCTTCTAATTATTAAAAATATTGACAAGCTTGTGCAACCAGGGGATGGATGTAGAATAATGTATTAGTGAGAACACTATTTTTGGATTTTCTAGACGGCGTACTAAGTTCAACCTTCTAGTTAATCACTCTCTAGTAGACTCTCTTGCACAGTTTTTGTTAGGTAGCTGGTAAAAATGTCACTCCCGATCAATCATAAACCTATGTAAACCTTAATAGGACAAATATTCTTTTAAAAAAAAAAAAATTCTGGAGACCTTTCCAGTTTTTTTTCTTGTCTTTTCATTTCAAAATGATCTGTTTGGTGATCTACACTGCAATTAACCTCACCCCTCCACTTTTTTTGTGTTTGTAAATTATTGCATTTAGTACATTCAAAAATTATACATATATACATTAGCAACTGTCAGTCTGCTCATGCTGATTATTCCTTCATGATCAACTAGCAATGGTGGAAAGCATCCAGCCTATCACTGCTCTTCCATTCATTGATTTTATGGGGAGAAACAAGTGGCTACTACAGAATCCTCTTGTTCTTTATCATTCCATTTCCTAGTGGAACCATCCTGAGGGAATAAAGCTAGTCTCTGCAGGATTTCCTCGCAGGAGTTGTTTGTTTGTTTTTTTGCGGTGAGGGGGGTTATGTAGAAATTCACATTCAATAATTTATTTAGGTTTAATGTTAAAATTAAAGTTTTGCAAAAAGTAAATCCGATGTGCAAAGTATATTGAATTAACACTGTCTGGGCATGCCCAGTGTTCTCATGGGAGGCCATTTTCATTTAGAAAAAAAATCACTTTTGAGACAACTGCTGATAAATCCATTTATATCTACTTTGCTGACCGTGTGATCGATGTTTTGGAGCTAGATTTGGTATTGCGGAATGGAGAGTGCGTATTGTGGTTGGGCTCACTACACTCAAACAGCAATCATGTACCCCTCTCCAAAACATTCAGGTCTATGACATAATTTGTATAATCAAACAGAATTAATGTACACACTGATGGTTTAAATACAAAAGTGACTAAATGCTGACAAAGCAGCTGGGTATGCAGGGAGAGATAGGATTATACGGATAGGAAACGTGTTTGATACTTACATGGTGGACAGTAATATGGCTATAAGTGAACAAGTGGTGTGTTTAAGGGCATTCAACATGTGTGGGCAATGAGCCTCAAGAAACATATTGTTGACTGCTGAACGTGACATTTTATTTATTTAATGGTCAATGGGATGTGGTACGGCCTATCAATAGGCAGGCCGTGTTCATAGACTATGATTAGGAGCAAGACAAATTGAGTAAGAGTTGTAATCATATTTATTGGAGTGTTGTAAAAGTGACCAGGGATCTGGGATTCATATTAACCGACATTCTGGGCATGTATTTACAGGCAGACATTTACAGTGCTGCCTGGGGAGGAGAGGTCCGGGGCTGGGAGCGTGTGGTCTGAACCATTGGTTGGTGCAGTCTCAGACCACAGTAATGGCTCCTTTTGTGGTCAGGCACTCACTGAAGAGTCTGAGCACAGCTGCCCGTACTACCAACCTGCATGCTGATTTAGTGGACCCACTGCAAGGGAGCAGTTACTGTGTTTTTTTTCCTCAGAGTTGCAGACCTTATACTCTGACACTGGACCACAAGGGACTTTAACCCATAGGAGTCCTAGCACATAATGTATGTGGTGTGTGCTGGCTGTGTGTAATGTGTATGAAAGTGGTGTGTGTTAGCTATGTGTCACATATAGTAGAGATAGCTAGTATACACACCACATCCACGGACACCTCAAATCTGTAATGATTTTGTGTCAGATTGGGCCACCACCTTAGTCCCTTGGACAGATGTTTAAAAAATAAATAATAATAATAGATTTGTTGCCAAACACCCTGATTTAATTTTTATATGTATTTTTCCCCTTTTCTTTTATAGTACGTATTTGCTTGAGTATAGAAGACATCCAAAATTAGGGTTACTGGAAAAAAAAGAGAAAAAAGTGACAGAAAATTAATAAATCTGTGTTTCTGGAAAAATGACATGTATTAAATTAATGACGGTTGAGGTGCAAAAAAAGAAACAGAATAAAAAAATCAAACAGATTAAAAAAAAATGTGTCAAAAATTAGACCTAAAGTAACAGTGACACTTTGATAATTATCTCCTACAGACTGTTTCCTGTAATTTTATCGCCACCTGTGAAAACAGGCAGGTGTCATCAATGCCTTAGTGCAGTCTCTTGTAAACAACTCCATGAATATTGTGTACACACAGTATGGCAGCCACAGATAATGCCACACCAAGAAATATCTTAGTGGGCTAGTCCAGGAGAGCATTGAGATTGTGGGCCACCAACCCAAGTCTAATCCTATACTGTGCTGGGCTAGAGACCCTGCACAAATCCTGCTTGCCGTCTCACTGCCGTATTCTGCCAACAGACATCCCAACAGACCTGCTACTCTAATCTGCAGAAGAATGGATTAATGACTGTATAATAATGGCGCATTGGTCCGTAGACCTCCCATCATTGCAAGAAGGAAGTCTGTCTTTACAGCTTTGGAGTCCTTTTTATTTTTATTTTTTTTATATGCTTAAAAATCTGTTTAGTAATTGGATAATTTTTGCACACACCTCGCCATGTCTGTTGATTGGCAGTTTCGGCTACAGTGGAACACTAGAAATGGAAAATGGGTGCTTTTGCTTACACAATAGTGAGAAAATGACAAATCGAGCAACGGCAATTAATAGAATTGATTATGTGATACTAATGTTCTTCATTAATCCAGCCAGCAATGTTACAGCACACATTGGAAATCAGGCCATTTAGTGACTTGTCACATATGATGAGCCTGGCTGACTGACTCATTTCTGGTAAAGCAGGGATCCTAGCAGATCTGGCTTAGTGCATGTTCTTGGAAGGTCAAAGGGTCAAATCCTACTTAGTCAGCAAAATGCTGGTTCCTGGAAAAGTCACATGATCTCCAGAATAAGGCTGTTTGTATGATCTCCGTTCTATAGGACTGGGACGCTGCTTGTAGGAAATCATCATAAGGGTGTTTTTCTTGCTTGATCTCGTTTGAACTATTTTATGACATCACATGTTGTACAGTGAGAGGTTGCGGGCCCTGTGGGGAGTGCACTTTGGGTCATTTGGATTAAGAGCCGTAGCAATGTCTCCCCACCCGAAGATTAGAGAGTGTGGGAGGGAGACCCAATGCAGCTATATTAGAGGAGCACAAACAATGAGCCAGTTTAGAGTTAAAGAGATATGAATAGTTATTTCAGTGCATGTTCATGTAATGTAATGTATACATTTATTGTGTCACTTGTGTGATTAAATGCACTTACTTGAATTTGAGTTGAGATTTCTACATCTGATTCATTCTACTGAGCTGCAGATCATCAGATCCCTCCAGAAATATTGACCTTTTTTTATATTCCTTAGCATCAATTTATTCGGTGATATACTGGATTATTACAGAAGTACTTCTTCTCTCATGCTCCTGTGGAGAGGAATAAAAAAAAACAAAAACATATTAGTCCAACTGCAAAGACCGCAACACAATGCAGCGTTTCCCTGTAAAGAGCAAACAGAGCGTCTATAATATGTGTCTGCAGATAGGCATAGATTGGGAGTACTTCTTTATTAACATTACCGACATCTGCAGTGTAAGAGGGAAGTAAAACTTGCTTTAGTGCTACATTGTGAAAGAGGAATTGCCAGCAGCAAATAAACATATAGTATTTCAGTCCTTTAACCTTTTAGTACCTGCAGTGTGCAGTGCTTCATGCTCACATGTGACATTTAAAGAATTAACATCGTACAAAGTCTCTTGCTATTAACTTCTGCGATGAGTCTCATTCCAGCTGTCCTTTGAGATGTTGATCTTTGGATAGTCTGTATTAAAAGAGCAATACCGTTTCCTGTCCAAAACATTGATTCCTGGTATAATAGCTTTAAAAAAAAAAATGTTTCTAGCATTCATATATAATATTCTTCGACATCCCATTGGCTTAGGTTTATCAATGCCCAGAGATAACTTGTTGCATTTTAAAAATATATATATATATGATTTAGCAGATGTAAGTGCCACTTACTGAACATGTTATGAAACTAAACATGGGAACATTCCAAACATTGTAGTGTGCTGTAGTGGTTATGGTGCCAGGAGTCATTAATGTAACTCGTCAGTTTGACTTCTAACCTGGGATCTGTAGGTCGCCAGTACCTGCCTTTTTACAGTCAGAAATGAGAGGTGAAAACTCCTGCTAGGAACTTCTGTTGGCTCTCTTGAGCTAAGCCCAGCTCATTGGCTGAAACTCAGCTGATCCCTCTCAGCCAATGGGCTTTGCTCGTGAAGAGACCTTGTGGCTATAATGAGGCAGGGAGCGCGGCTCTTGGCAGACCCCAGGTAAGAAGTTGGTCCATTAGAAGTCTATTGTCGAGGGTTTCTTTTTATCAAGTCTCAAAAACCTAGGATGACCAAAGTTAGCCATAAATTAAGATGGCTCTGAATGCAATCTGGTTATATCTTTAGATACTTTAGTAGATTAGAGGTACCAACTGGTAACAGGTTTATTGGTAAAGGCATAGTGTATTGGGAAGACTCGCTGGCTGGTGTCTGATGTTAGGATGGTGTGGCCTTTTTGTAACAGGAATCTGGCCCTTGCATGCTATTATCTGAAGATTCCAGGGCAGGGCCATTGTGTGTTGCTAGAATTTATATTATCCCTCCATTGTATTATATGTGGTTGAATTGCCTTGTTTGAGAGAACAATTTGTAGTTCAGTTTAAGGCAGGTACAATTATTGTTCCTATCTTAAAGTTTGGTTCTAGAAAACCAGAGCTGAACATTTATAGATCTAAAATCCCTTAAAGGAACACCCCAAGCACCATAACAACTACAGTTTGCTGTAATACCCACTACATGTAGTGGTCAAGAAGGTTTAGAAAGGACCTTGGGTACACCGAGCGCTGACCCCCACCTATCACTATGGCCTACAGGAGAGCTGGAATCCTCGCAATGCAGTGTTTAACTCATGGGTTGAGAACAATCAGCTGACTCTAAGTAAGAGAGCTAACCCTGAGAGAGCTAATGGAAGCTTCCAGGTCTTGTAGCTGAGAAAAGGCTGGGAATGGACCCAGGTCATGACATGAAAAGCCCAGAGCTATTTCTAATTATATATTATTTTTTTTTTAAATTTAATTTTGAATATTTTCTCTAAAAATCTGTGCATGTACTTCTTCCCTGGTTCCGAAGATTACCTCCTAACTTAGTGTGCCTAAATCTTACATTCTTCGAATATGTCTGTTCCTGGCTTATTGCATAACCAGGAAATAAATGCTTCATATATTGGTTAGCCGAAATTAAAACCATTTTTTTGCTCACAATTACTGAAAGCTCCCACCCCCTTGTTTGTTTGTTTGTTTGTTTATTTATGTTTTAATCCATGCTGTTGCACCTATGGCTTCTAAGGGGTCAGTTTAGGCCAGGCTTTCCCCAAACTCTGGCCCTCCAGATGTTGCTGAACTACAACTCCCATGATTCTCAGCCTGTTTATTTCATTCATAGAAGCATGGGAGTTGCTGTTCAGCAACATCTGGAGGGCCGGAGTTTGGGGAAGCCTGGTTTAGGCTTTGCAGTGTGGTTTTCATGTTACATTTTCTGGTGAATGAGCATTGATTGCTGTCCTTAATAGATTACAACTTCGTCTGGCACAGACAGTGCAGTGTCACACCAAGCTGCTGTTTAATCAGGATCTCCTGCTGCACAGTACAGTGATTTAAGCCAAGAGTCAATCCTGTCCAAGAGCATGTGGAATAGACAGAAACAACATGCCCAGTTTAGAACTCTGTATCCAATCCAATGGTTATTTACAAATGCCTTTGTCACATGCAGCCATTGAAATTGGACACCTTCTTACATTTTTGGCACACATTATATTACTGTAGTATGTGACCTCCTTGGTTGTGACTTTAACCAAGGATACTGTGGCATACTTGGTAACTATGATCTTTGATTCTAACTGAATATATTCTTATGGGTAGTGAAAATCAAAATTTAAAAAATCTGAAGCGGAGGGCAGTGTCTGGAGGAGTGTCATAACGTAGATGGATTTTAGCTAGCTAACTGCTAGTGAGGAGAGGATCAAAACACAAAATGAAGAGTTGTATTCTAACTGATATGTAGCATGGTTATGGTAGCTTTTTGTTTCCCGTCGCTAACCCAGACACCGCAGGGGCAGACTGGCAGTGAGATTTTCTTCTTTTTTTTTTTTTTTTTTACCTGTAAAGGCTAACTCCAACCCTTTTTAATAAATTAGTTTTTATTTATTTATTTATTTATTTAAATCTGCATTTGGTATTAGGTCTCTCTTAAAATCCTGTAAAAGGAAGAATACATTTACATGGAATACAGTGCCCAGCGAAGCTCTCCATGCTGGTTTCCATGCCCGTCTGACGTCGCAGCCTCCCTCTCCTTGATCCAATCAAGTGCTTTTCATAGAAAAGCATTTTCTCCTGGCTCAGAGTTCCTGCACATGCACTGGGAGGGGAGGCAGTCATTGTCTTGGAATGACCATTGCATGTGATCATTATCACAGTACTCATCCTGTCAGCTGCACATACTAATGCTTTTGTATGATTTACACATTGTGTGCACAGATTAGTTTAAAAATATAGCTGATCGCTGTCAGTCAATAAGCGTAGTACTGCATTGTAAGGTTCAGCTAAGGTGAGTTAATAAATGCTCCTGCTTAGGAACTTCCAGTCCTCCAGCATTGGTAGTGGAGGCTTAGGGTGGATCCCAGGTACAAAGTGAACCCGTTCAAAAATTGGTTTGACTCCTTACAAAGAAGGGGGAACACTTGGGCACAATAAACCAATACGAACTGTAGTCGTTATAGTGCTTGGGGTGCTTTCATTTTGCAGGTGATACTTCCGGTTTCAGTGCAGCTTCTTGCCAATTAAGAACCTAGGAACCTTTCATATGGAATTGAGCAGACACAAGCAGAAGCTCTTTGACAGAAAGCCAGATCATTTCTAGATAATGAGTTAAATATCTGGGCATTATGAACTTGTAATTTATTTTACTGCTCAAAGATATGTTTTTTTTTGTTTGTTTTTTTTCACTCAATATAAATGTTGCTTTTTTAATTTTCATTTTTTTAATTGGCTTCTTTAATGTTAAAGAAATTCTTTTCTTGCGGAATGAAATAAGCAAAGCTGATTTATGGGAGCTGTGACCGACATTGTGACCTCGTGGTCTCTGTACTATTGCCAAGCCAAAGTGGTTAAGGGGTGGACATAAACTCAGATGGTCTGCATAAATTATTGGCTACCACAAACGCAAAAACTGTCTTTGGGAAAATGTTAATGAGAAATTCAAATTATCAAACACGACGTCTGCAATTCACCTTTTTTTTTTCCATTTATAATAATTTTATTTATTTTTTTTATTCAAATTTTGCTAGAGACTTCAAGGAATCCTCTAAAACTCCAGAAAAAAAAAAACATGTTGAGAATATAAAAAAATCCAGAAAAATAACAAATTTACAGTTATTATACAAAACATAACAGTGTAGACAACGACACAGTACACCTTTTTATTTGTACAACAACTCCTGTGATGCTGTGTCAGCCTTAAAGCACAGTCTTGGGGAATCTGACATTTAACAAGGACATGACTTGCTAGAGTTCTTAAAGCATCTGCCATTGTTTATGTGTACATGTGCTTGCCATGGACAGCTAATCCCCACCACTCCTCCTGTGTTTACAGTGCCCTAGTTTGGTTGTAGAGCCAGCATGAAAGGTGAAGGTGTGGCCTGATGGAAACAGGACAAAGGGAGGGGCACAGTGAGGATGCACAAATGGTGTGCTGTTCCCTTATTTACCCAACTGGGCCAAACCAATTAATCTTGTATGCCTGTGTAACCTGCACCTCCCTGTCCTTACCACTGTTTAAGATTACCCTTAACAAATTGTGTATTGCCAGGTCACAGAATGGACTTTAAACTACTTTAAATCCTTAAGGAACTTAAACAGAACATCAGCATGCAATGGTAATCCATTCAGACTTTTTTGCAAACTTTTATTTTTCTCTATATGTGAAAAGTTGTCACAATTTGCGAAAAAAAGGAATAAAAGAAAAATGGGTTTGTAAAGGATATTTTGTGAATGCTTTTATTTATATGGGATTATTCAGGTTCATTCTGACTTGTTGTTATTCTCTCTCTCTCTCTTTCTATATATATATATTTTCTGCTTTGTTTTCCATCTCCCACAATGTCACAGAGGAGGCATGGCCTCCTCTATCGCTGTCCACTCCAATGCTGCTCATAGAGGAGCATTGGGGGACATAATGCACTTATGGCGAGCGCCGCACGCGCATTCATAGCATTGAATGCATGCTTTCCCATGGGGGCCTCCGCAGTGCCTGACCGAGCTTGTCATTTCTGCGGAGGCCCCTCTAGAGGCTCTTCTACTTGCAGGGTTAAAAGGACAGAGGCACTGCAACCAGACCATTCCATTAAGATGAAGTGGTCTGGATGACTATAGTGGCCCTGTAATTATGGTAAATTACTCCCCGCCCGGTAAGTTTAACCCCTTCCTCTCCATCCAGCTCGGTGGGAGGGGGACCCTGAGGGTGAGGGCACCCTCAGGGCACTATAGTGCCAGGAAAACGAGTATGTTTTCCTTGCACTATAGTGGTCCTTTAACATTTTTGTACTTCATACATTCTAAATGAACACATCTGTTTAATTCCAAGTATCTTTTTCTGCTGCCACGGCAACAAAATGGATACAGCCTGTCACAGCCGTCTCAGTGTATTAGCTAGTTACTTTCTAGAATTAAGGAGGATTGTCACCTTTGAGCTGGTGACAGTTCTGTTTTCAGTCACCCCAGTAAAAGCTGATGAAGCGTTTACGGTTTGAGGAGTGCAGGGGAGGGAACTGCTTACCTCTGAGGCACTTCTGGGTATTAGAACAGATTTCTCCATTGCTCTCAGCCCTTTTCTAAAAGGACCACTAAATGCATCCGGACCACTTTGTCTCAGTTAAGTAGTCTGGGTGCAGTGACCCTGTTCTTTTAACCCTGTATTGTAAACCACTGCAGTTTTTCAGAAACTGCAATGTTTCTATTGCAGGGTTAAATCTGCCTCTAGTGGCTGTGTTCCTGACAGCCACTACTGCACTGACTGAGTGAAGCTCGGCAACGTGATGCGTAAGCTCATAGGAAAGCACTGGATTCAAAGCATGGATTCATGCATGGTGCCCGCTGCGCATGCACGTCAGGTCTGCAATGCTCCACTATAAGGAACATTGGATTGGACCATCGCTGGAGGATACCATGCCTGCTCAGTGACATTGTAGGAGGTGTAGAGGTGTGCCAAAAATAAATATAAGTAAAAACTTAAAATTTTTATTGCAACGAGGGGGAGGGACACCTATATATAACTAGGGACCAGGGCACTATAGGTCTAGGAATGCAGGTTTGTATTCAGTATGTGCATTACTCCCATGATGCGTATGTCCACAGGTCTAGCATCATGTGATTACAGATATTTACATTATATGCCAGGCTATGCCTGCCTTGAAGACGCATTGTGTATATCAAGGATTAATTAAAATAGAAGAAAAGAAAAAATGAACTAACACAGCCTGTAGCTAACTTTTAAATGGCTAAAATGATTTATCCTTAACAAAAGTATTGCAATCTTTCAATATGTGATCTAATTAAAAAAAAAAAATACATCCACTTATTTGCAGGCCTTAGGAATCCTATATGACTAGGCGATTTGTTGCTGTTACATCAGAGAAGGTTGATCAACACCTTTTTCAAAGGCCAACTTAATTAAAAAAGAATAAGACCTGGTGTTCATAGCAACTCTTTGCAAAGCTCTTGGGAAGCGCTTTCCAAATCTCTTGGAAAAGTTGTGTTGCAAGTACACGCTAGACCCATTATGAACAGTCTTTCCTATGTGTGTGAGAAGCATATCATTTCCGTATTCAGGGCATGGAGTCTGTCATGTCTTGACTTACTCTGTGTGTGTTCACTGCGATTGTAGAGACAGGAGCAGAAGTGTAAAAGAGGTTGCAAAGTGCAGGAGGAAACAGAGGTGATGAGTGATGACATTGAGCATAGGGCCTAAGAACACTGATTTCTGATGTTGCTAATGTAATCTGAAAGACCTACCAGCTATGCCAGGATCTGCTGGAAATTGGCAAAATAAATCAGCAATATTCTATATGTGCAATCCAATTACATTTCACATTTATGGTTATACGGACATAAAGGGCTCAATAATCCACCAGTAGACTTCGTCTTGGTAAAGAAAATCCTTTTAGTGGAGTAGGAAGGGATACAGTCTGTTCCCAATAATTCATCCTGTTTTGCCAATAACAGAAATAACTGCAGTAATAATCAGAATATAAATAATTTTACTCTTAGTGTGTATTGTGGAACGTAAGGACCAAGGGAAAGATTTAAGTAAGGGTGCTGCTTCATTACTTAATAATAATTTATAATGCACTAACATGTCCAGCAGTGGCAGTGCTGTACAAATATATGTAAAACTTTTTTTTTTTTTTTAAGAAAATCTGGTTTTGTGCACAAAGATCTTTTGAAATTTGAGTAACATGCACTATATGTTTGCTTTGGTAATCATTATTGCCTCATACATATTAAACGTAGCCATCACACATTGCACAGTTCAGGTACCACATAACAGGCATTTCAGTAAATATAGATGATAAATATAGATGGTTGCTGCAAAAATAAATACCATACAGGTAATGCAGAAAACTGGTTAAGTGACCCTGTCTATAAAGGATGCACATTGATCTCTGGCCAAAATCAGTAATCTGTTTAATTTATTTAAAAAAAATGAAACTTAGAAAGTACACGTGCACACAAATGAAATACATGTTTTTTTTTTACATTTTTTTCTTCTTCCTGCGATTGTGTTAATTGTTTTGAATTTTATTTTTGCGCTAATCCGAACCTATAGGGCAAGTTTTTTGCGGCAACCTCTAGGTGGTAATTGAGTGTTAAACTTTTTTTTTTTTTCTTTAAACAAAAAATGAAATCCCTACAACCCCCTTTTTAAAATTCTTACTAATATTTAATCTGTTTCTGGTTTCAAGAATGTCTTTCACTTTAAATCCTTAAAGAATGTGTGCTGTTTCCTTCTGAAACACTTGCCCAAGGATATAAGTCAGTGGACTGGCACATGAGTCATTCAGTGTATGTGCCACTTTCCAGGGTTGGAGGAGGTGAGGCATGGCAGGAAGAAGGACCTGCATACAAAAACGAAATGCTTTTAAAATGTGTTCTGGCTGTAAAACTGGACCAAACTGACAGGGATATTCACTAACCTATAAATTGCAGCAAATTTTAGAATTGCAATTGCAAAATGCAGGCTACAATTAAAACTTGACTTAGTCGAGTTGAAATGCTTTTCCAATTAACAATGTTTGCCTAAATTTTTAGATTCATATTTCAGTAATGATAGCTCACCCTGTAAAGCAGCAGATATGGTTTTCTTTGTCGTCTGGAGTATGCTACTATGTATTTTATCTCCTAGCGTAGATGAACGCTTAAAGCACCATAACTGCAACAGCACTCTGCAGTAATGTTGCTAGGAAGACCCTGGTCCCTTCCTCCCCCATTTTAAGTAGTTGAATCATACTTATCCAGGGTTCACAGGAACTTAGGAGCTTCCAGTAGCTCAGACAGAGAGGCACTCAAGGCAGTACCATCATCACTATGACACTCTGTAGTGGTTATAGTGCTTGGATTGTCCCTTTTAATTATGGCCATTATAGGAAGCTGAGTACCCCATTTTTAGCTCTTCATAATATTGACATCAATGTCACTTGCCAATTTGTATGGCTGTGCTGTATGAACATTATATTTAGCAAAAGATGTTTCAGATGACATAATCTGGCCTATCCTAGTTTTTTATGGCGTTTGTATAACATTACGTGACATTTAAAGGGACACTCCAGACCCCTAAAGCACTTTAGCTTGTTGAAATTCTTTGTCTGTGAAGAGTGTTTGTTTTTTTTTTAATTTTATTTTTTTTTTAAATAAAATAAATGCAGATTTTAGTAGAATATGGCATTTTTAGAAATCATCTTTGTTACACCCCCATGGCTGTCAGACACCTGGTCCTGTTACGTCTTGGTTGTCTAGCTCAGTGGAGCTAAACTCAAGAGGCACTTAATTTTTTATAGTTTTTTCTTATTTGGGCAGTGGAGTGTACCTTTAACTCTATATTTGAACTTTTCCTTTCCTAACAGAATAAAACATTATAACACCGTTATACTAGTTGAATATCTTAAAATAGATTTTATTTGAATATGCATGCATCTATTTAGGCTGCAATTGCCCCCAGCCGGGTGGTAGTCAATCAAAGGCAGCTACTCCAGTGAGTGTCCATTGTTTTGCTGAAAACCTGTACAGAGGTCTTTGGATCATTTGTAGTGGGTGACAATTGCTGGCCATGGCAGTAATCTCCAATAAAATGTATATGTGTCTTTTTCCTGATTCTGCGTGCAGTCTATTTTTAAGTTTCTTCTTGCTTTTTTAGGAAATAGAACGGTCTTTTGATTTTTACGTGAGTATTCGTGACATTGGCCAATTGTGATGTTTACTAAGTTCACAGGAAGGGAGTGTTGGGACGGAATGCCTCAGTAAGAGACGCTTCATCCATATTCCCTTAATGTCATACAGAAACAGCCCTTCCTACTTCCTTGTAAAACTCCGATCTGTGACTTAAAAAGTTTTTTCACAGTCCATAAAATATATTGGAACACTGCAGATTTTACTTGACCCTGTAATGTAAAGCAATTTCTAAATGTGGCCATCCTGCCTTTTTATCCCACCCACTTTTATTAATAGTTGAAAGGCATGGCTTTATAACCAGTAAACCAGATGTTTAACATGAATAAATATGTTTAGTTATGGTAGCCTATTATTCATATATATTAGGTATTATAAAACTTGACTTTTGAATTTGGAATTTCATTTTTACTGTATGTCTGACATTCCAAAAACTTAAGAGCCATGATCTAAATCAGGCATGTCAAACTCAAAGGCTAGCAAGGGCCAAATAAACAAGGTTTAAGTTTATGTGAGCCGCAAAAAAAACCAAAAACTAAAATTTTCATAGAAACGTAGGTTTATTTTGAAAAGTACAGTATAAAAAAAAAACCAGCGACCCCCTCATCTACTAAATCACAGTCCCCCACTCATCTACTAAATCCTAGTCCACCCCTCTACTAAACCACTGCCCCTGTTTAAAAAAAAAAGAAAAAAAAAAAAAAAAGAAACTGTAACGGATCACCTGGCACCCCGACTGGGTACCTCCGTTGAAAGATGCTCCTAGCGCTTCTTGAGGATTCCAAGCACTCCAGCCGACACCATAACCACCATAGACTCCTTCAGAGAGCAAGACAGGAACAAGCTCTTACAAGAGCTCAGTGATTATAGCAAGGGAATATGCAGAGCATAGCAATCCCTTGTAGCAGAATCCCCCAATAAAAGACCGGACTCAGATTGAGGGTGAAGTAGAACTGACTGTACTGGCACATACAGCCTCTTTTATTCACAATCCACAAACATAGTACTGCCCACAGGGTTTTGAAATACAACCAATCAATCCGTACAATACAGACAGACACTCCCACACAAAATCCTCCACTCTGCCTGTGATATGATTACTGAACACAATGGTTAATATAATTATCACAGGCAGAGAAATACAATTTTTACAAAATATTAATAACTTCAAAAATATACATGCCACAAAAATAAAATTACATATTCGAACTCAGCACACTTTAATTATCAAAATATCCAAAATTCAGCCAATTCCATACAGGGGTTAAAAAGTTAGCTGGAGGTCCCTTTTTGACCGACATTTTCATGCCCAAAACAGTTCCATAGATTTGGGCTGTGCGGTCGGTCTATTTCAGGCTGAAAAAACGACTAAGTCCCATCGCCGAATGGGACTTAGTCTCTGCGACTGCAAAATCATTGTGGGAGAAGGTAAGGCTCAGCGGTGTTCGCAGAACTGTGTAGCCGATATCAGTTCCATGAATTTGGCTCCACACACCGCTGACCGCATTGAATAAAAAAATATGGCCACCGTCACGTGTTGGTTTGCACGAACTGCGGCCACCCAGCGTTCGGCAATTTACCTACAGCAGGCTCCCAGCCTGGGAGGTAAATTGCCTGCACACTTCCAGTTCTGGGTGGTCGGTCTGTGCAGTGAATGGCTCGGTAAGCCCGAATTACCGAACCATAAGGGAAAAGGCCATTTAAAAGTTATTTCCAAAGTCTGGGGACATTGGGGACACCATCTTAAAGGGGCAGTGTCCCAAACACGTCTGGGGACACAGTTTTAAAGGGGCCTTGTCCCAAATTTTCGCCATGCCCCAAAATGGTTCTTAATGGGCTAGCAGCACCATACAAATCCAATATGCCCAAATATTGTACTTAAAGGGCCACATCTTCTCGGGACCATAATCACTGGGTAGGAGGTGGGCCAGCAGCCCCCTCCAAGAATACATGGCAAACTCCGTTAAAGGGGCGAGTTTGCTACAAAAACATTAGCCAACAAGCAGTGTCCGGAGTCCGGCCTCTGGTATACCCCCATTGACCCTATCCGCACCCTAAAAAAGCGGATCTTCCCGTTACTCCTTGAAACCCTTACACACCCTCACTGACACACACAGCCAGCCATACACACACACACACACACACACACACACACACACAGTCAGCCATACGCGCGCACACACAAACACAGCCAGCCAGCCATACACGCGCACACACACATACATTTTCCCCCGACAATTTTTTAATTTAAATCCACCCAGCCTCCCTACCTTTGGGAGAGTGGGGTGGATTTCTTACCTGGGGTCTAGTGGAGCTGCTGGGCAGGAAGGCGAACAGGCAGCAAGGTATCTGTGATCTCCCTGCTCGGATCCCTTGCGCGCCGCAGAGTGATGCCTGGGGCCGGAGTGACGTCATATTCCGGCTCCCGGCGTCACTGCGGGCCGCAAGGGAGCTGAGCAGGGAGAGCTCAAAATCAGCTCTCCCTCGCCGCAGGCTGCAAAGATATTCCTGATGCCTGACATGCCTGATCTAAATGGACTTGAAAAGTGTACAAACTATGCGTTTAAATCACAAAACAACAGCGTGTGACATGTCTGTCTGTGTTTGAATGTCAGAGTTTACCTTGATCTATTTATAATCGCATTTGAAAATGTTAAAAAAAGTGTAAACTTGTGCAATAAAATACTTTTTATTTTATTGCTACAGGAAGTCTGCATATTCTAATGCACAGGAAGCTGCAAATAGTTTATTTCCATCTGTATGTTTTTGGTCACTGACCATTATTTAGAATCAAAGCTATATTCTATTTGACTTTAAGCAGTATTCTGTTCTCTGTTTCTCATGTAAAATGCAATATAAGGCAAATCTCACAATGTTCTCATACACAGTCTTATTTTTGTGTGCTGTTTACTGTAAGGGACACTCCAAGTATTATACTAACTTTGTTACAACTGGCTTTGTGTGCCCATAACCAATTGTCAGAGACAAATAACTTCAGTGCCTATAGGTCCCTCCACATTAGCACATTAGCAACATTATTTGAGACAAGAGTCAGTTCTCTCTGCTTATGCTGCATCCAGTGCCTTTATCCCTAGCTCTTTATAGGTAGTGTCTCTTCTCCCCACCCACCTTTTGTAATAAAAGTTTAATAAATAAAATATTTACTTTTTTCAACTCCTAAGAATACTTCAGTGCTGCTTAGCTCTCCGCCTCCCATGACGTCTTATTCCAACCCAAAGTTCCTTATAGTGGAGCATGGGGGTATCCAAGCTTTCTCTTAGGAAAGCATTGAATGTATGCTTTCTTATGGGGGCTTCTGCGTCATGTGACCATTTTTATGCTCAGTGCCACTAAGCATCTCTAGTGACTTTCATTACAACAGGCCCTAGAGGAGAATTTAACCCTGTAGTGTGAACATTGTATTTTCTTTATAACTGCAATGTTTTACCTTGAATGGTTAAAAGGAAGTGACCACTGCTCCCAGTCTACTTCGTTGAGATGAAGTGGCCTGGGTGACTTTAGTGGTCCTCTAAAGCGGCATTGTCGCCATCTGAGGACTTTGCAGAATTTGCAGAGACTCCTGGCTGTGACATAGCTACTGGTGGTCCAGTGCCTGCGGAAGGGCAGGTAAAGGTGAGATTTACTTACCTGAATCTGCCCCTCACAGGCAAGGCCGTCTTCCTCCAACTGGTCCTTTTTCAGCTCCTGGCGCTTAAGCATATCTCTTTATTTCTCAGTGCCTCTTTAAAGGGATCCGATAGTGCCAGAAAAACAAGCCCGTTTTCCTGGCAATATAGGCTCTTGGAGTGCCCTCCTCCCTCGGGGCCCCCCTCCCCTTCAGCCACTTACCTTAATCCAGTGCCAGGCTCCCTCGGCACTGGTGACTTCTCCTCCCCTGCCGACGTCAGCTCCCGAGTGGAACCGAATGCGCAAACGTGGCCAGAGGCATGCGCATTCAATCCTGCCCATAGGAAAAAACTCAATGCTTTCCTATGGGGATCTTATTTGACGCTGGACTCAATGAGGACGTCCAGTGTCAAATAAGTGTGATTTACTCAGTGTAAATCGTGGAAGCGCCTCTAGTGGCTGTCAGGGAGAGAGCCACTAGAGGCTGGATTAACTCTGCAGTGTAAACATAGCAGTTTTTCTGAAACTGCTATGTTTTCAACTGCAGGGTTAAAACTAGGGGGACCTGGCACCCAGACCACTTCATTGAGCTGAAGTGGTCTGGGTTCCTATAGTGGTCCTTTAATATTATTTAGTAAACTTTCTGTTACATAGACCCATGCTACTTGCATCCACTCCAGCCATCGTTTCAACTGCCCATCCAACTGTGCTGGGAGAATGGTTAGCAGACTGATCATTTGACATAAAAAGCTTAAAAACTTTGTTGTCCATGTAGAATCCTGAGTCTTTGTTTGTCTAAAATTATTAATACCATAATATTTCAGTATTCCATTTTAATACAACCTATATAACATTTGTCTACAAAAAAAAGGAAAAGGCTGACGATAAACTGTCCCAATGTCCTAACCAGATTTAAGCATACTTGATGTCTGCTTATTACCAACTGCTTCCCGTTGTACAAGGCTACAGAATATATTGATGTCATATCAGTGTAATCGAAATTAATTGATTGTAACTCATTTTGGGCACCTATTATTCCTACATATTAAACATATTTTGTCAAAATTGTGTTGTTTTACCTATTGTACAATGTTGCATAATATGTTGGCGCTATAATAAATAATTGTAATATATGCTATGTTAATATGACAGGGGAAAGGCTGCACTGTCACACTGCATCGTGTTCTATTTTCTAAGCAAGAAGAATGACCATGTGTTATGTACTAGCAGAGAGACAGAAGGGAATCTCTAAATCTGTTCTTCCTACCACATTCAGGTTACTATGCCAATGACTAAGTGTGCATTGAAGTGTATCGTTTCAAATTTAAATACGCATTGCATATAAACTGTTCACAGAGCGGGGATCTAGAAGGATTGAGATATAGCAAAATCAATAGGACGAAAAAGCACATTTGCTACTGCTTAGCTTGTTGGGGGCATTATTTGAGAAGCGTTAAGTAGGTCAGGGTTATATAACCTGAGAGTGGTCTGGGTGCCTGTAGTGTACCTTTAAGCCTATTATTTAAAACAGTGTTTTTGGTGTTTCTGAGAGGAGTATGTTAAGTCGGGCAAAACTTGGACAAAGACGTCTATGGCATTTGTTTGGAGAGAGATGTACTTAGTTTGGGTCTAACACTCTACTTTCTGCTGGAGACGTCATAATGAGATGTTTCCGCTTGTACAGCATGATCATATATTGCACAATCACACTATCCAGTTAAAGCCAGTGAGTACTATGGTACAGCGTTAAGCAACCTTCGGCACTCTAGATGATGTGGACTACATCTCCCATGATGTTTTTACAGCCAAAACATTGGCAAAGCATCAAGGGAGATGTAGTCCACAACATCTGGAGTGCCAAAGGTTGCCTAACCCTGGGGAGGATAACACTATGCAAAATCATCAATGTTTTCTGAAGCACAAACTGCAGCTGAATCCACATATACCCAAGTGCGGAACACTTCAATGTATGCTGACGTCAAAAAATCTTCTGCATGAACACAGGAACCTAAGTCAAACGCAATAATAGACATCTGGGGCTAGTTGGGTGTCGGTATCATAGTCGGGACCTATATCGGAGACTCTTACCTTAGGTAGCTCTAATTAGTTATGAAATGTCTAGCATTGTTGAGTTTTGTTAAGTGTTATATTTTATCTTTTATGTGTGGACACGTACTGCCCACCAAAACAGAAACAGTGACACTGCACGGCACAATAGAACCTTGACTTAACTTGTAAAACCGCTTATCTTCTGTATTATGCAATGTTAGCCTCAATCACTATTGGCCCCTGCGCGAGCCACTGTATACTGCAATGCCGTAATATGTGTCGAACCAAAAATAAAGAATTTTAAAAAATAAAAATAATAATCTTCTGCATGGATAATAAACCAAATGTCCTCTTCATAACAACTTTAGAATAGGGGGTGAGTTTAGGATGCCAGGGTCCAGTGTATGTTTTGTTCTTCTCCCCTCAAATTATTTTTTAAGGATTCATGAATACAATCTCTCTATACTATTGCTTTAGATCATTTTTGTTGCCAGATATTATAAGCCTTTTTAGCATTTCTCCAAATATTTTAGCAGTGTAAGAGTATATTATCCTTATTGTATGAAAACATTGGCAATAGCACAATGGAAACTACAACTGTTTTTTGAAGTGTACTTGAACTGACCTTTTTCTACAGCATGTTGTGAATATAGCCGTTGTTATGGAAAGACTTGATCGTTTTGCCACCTGTAAACTAAAGTGGAAGGAATGCATTAAAAAGATTACTTTTTATTAACAGCATTTCATTTGTTTCCCTTTTTTTTATTGTAGATGAAAATGACAAGGTTTTGCTGAAACAAGAGGAAGAGGAGGAAGAAGAGGAGGATGAAAAAGACAAGAAGAGTGTAGCTAGAACGGACGATTTAGTAAATCAAGCGCCACCTGATCCTGCCTCGCCTCCAGCCCCTGCACCCCCTCCACCCCCACCCCCACCTCTCCCAGCCCCTGTGGCCATCATTCCCCTCTCTGTAGTAACCAGCACTCCTCAACCAGTAGTCCAAAAACCTTTGTCACCCCCTGTAGTACAGCGTCACCCACCTGTGATTAGCCCGCCTGTTCTCAACAAAGAAGTGCCCATAGCTCCTGTCATCCAACGACCTGCAGGCCCAATGCTCCCGGACATCAAAACAACCCCTCTCAGTATAGGAAGCCCTAAGCAGCTGCACCATTACCAGGCACCAGTGCTGGCAATTACACACCATCACCTAATGCAGCAACAACAACCGCCGCAGCAGCCACACCAGCAGCCACACCAGCAGCAACCTATACAACCCCAGCCTACAGCTCTACCGCACCCCCATCAGCCACCTCCACCTCAGGCGTTGGGTGCCCTACGGCTTCCTACACTAGATGATGGAAGGCCGAATGAACAGAGGAGAAGGCCTGGAGGGTAAGGCATAAAATGGGGGTTATTAGGAGCCTTTTAGTGAGTAGCAGCCATTATTTTTCTGATAAGATCCGTTGACTGGGAACTATTTTCATAACTGAATGTAATTATGAACTATTAGATGGATATGGGGGAATATAGTGAACAAACAAAAACAAGTTGGCAGATTACCATCGTATCCCATTCCAACGTAGAACACGTGTTTGTTTTTTATAATGTTAATGTGTGATGGGGTATAATAATAATAATAATACTTGTATTGGACAATAATAAAGTGCAGCACTGTGCAATTATTTCTATAGAAAATGTATTAGTTTGAAAAACCAATGCATAATCAACATAACCAATGCATAAACCTGCATTTTGGCAGTAAAGTCTACCTATTAACATCGCATGTCTCTGCACCTGTGTTAAGTGCATTGGATGAAAAAAAATTGGACTACTGCAAAGAAAAGGGCTAATTCTAAGGAAAAGTTCTAAAGGTGGAGCAGTTACTAAGAACATTCTATTGGTTTCCATGGAGACTACTCCACTTTTATATCTTCGCCCCAGAATTACTCTTTATAGATAACCCCTTGCGCATTTTAGTTTTTCTCAGAGAGTAGAGTAATTGAGAAGTGATTCTGGGTTTTACCCTAGGGATAAATGGCTTAATGTGACTTTCTTCCAAGAATTAGTGGTTCTTTGTCTTTACAATTTTTTTAAACACAGGCAAATTAGGGAGTTTACAATGACCTAATGCACATTTATTTAGGATAGTTGTTCACATTGAAATCTTGGGAAGCACTACTCCTACAGCTTTGGAAGATATCAACATAACAGAATATTTTAAAATGTGTATTAAAGGACAACTCCAAATATCAGTTTATTAAACAGATTATTGTAGTAGCTCTCTCCAATTTATAATTGTTTGAAGGAAAAAATGAAACCTCCCTTAAAGAAATCTAGGAAAAGAACTTGCTCATGAGCATTACTGTTAATTAAGTCCTTCTTTTTAAGCTTGTGTGCGTGTGAAAGACGTAGATTGCGTGTTTGCAATGTTTCTCACTTTCGTTTTTAAAATTAACCTGCCATGACAGACAGGTTCACTTAATTTCATTTATAGCCTTAAGTAATAAATATATACTTTATCATTAATGATATATTTTATTGCTTAATTAGCTCTTATCAAATGCATTACCTCTGCTCTAGTGCTGTTGCCACAATGTTGGGTTAGTTTCTCTACATTACTCTAATGTATTGCACAACCCCCATTCCTCATTCCTTCCTGACCCCCCATCTTCATGATTTTTCCTGCATTGGGAAAACGTCTAAAATCAAGGTGTTCCTCTTATGTCATCATCACCCAGCGCACGAGTGTTTCAATGAAATGACACCTGTCTCTTTGTTCCTATATAAATAAAGGGGAGTGTGAGATGCAATCGCACCTCTTAATATTCAGAGCAACTACTGCAAGTTCGCTGTAGTTGCTGTGAGGAAGCTCATTGGAACCACCAAGTTGAGGCAAAAATAATTTGACATTTTGTTTAACTCTTATTGAAAACTGCAAGACAAAACTATTAGAAAAATCAATTTAAATGACAAAAAATACGATTTATCAGATCATCACAACCTTTTCAAAGCATGTTTAGCATCGATCACTGATGATTGACTTTCACCTCACCCAGTATATTCGATGGTAATGATTCTTGTGTATTGTATACAACTAATTTTCTGCTATTTCGTTTGTATAGATAAACGGATAGTTTAGGTACTGTGACCACTTAAGCTTCTCTTAGGGTTATTCACTGAAGCGACAATTTCAGAGCTAATTTCAAAGTGAATTTCAAACTTTTTCTAATTTGCCTATTTTGGCCTACATTTTAGATTCACTTTGATTTCTTAGCTGGATGGTTTCTACAGGTATATGTAACTACTGGTTCTTTTATTGACAGGAGATCGGTTCTGCTTTAAAGCCTTTTTTCAGTCAGATGTAAGGCTGCAGGGAGAGTGTCCTGGCACCATAATCGCCTGCCAGAGAGGTGTGGATATTATAAGTGATTGTTATTTTTTTTAGTGTGTCCTTTTTAAAGTGGTCCTTTTTCTTTATGTATTATCTAGCAGCCTGAATTAAGACTTCATTTTGTACAAGGTGCTGGTCTTTAGATAAAAATACTTAGTTGGAAAAGATAATGTCCAATACAATCAGACACCCACTATCACTTTCTCTTTCACTTTGCAGAGAAAATACTGTGCTTTAACCTTTGGATGGAAGCTAATCATGCACTGTGCATAATAACTACAAAAACAAAACAACAAAACACTTACGCAATTATTTAAACATAGACTACATTATCTTGAAGCCCGTATTAAATGATCTTCAAAATGCCAGCAGTATATTAAAAAGCAGCCACCCTATTTGCTGAGCTCCTGTATATTTTTTAGAAGATTTTAGGACCCATAATAAAGTGCAGCTACTGGCAAGTGAGAATTTAGCTCCTATGAGTAGAAATTTACCACTGGTGAGTCTGCCAGGAGTCCTTTAGGAGTGCTGCGGCGAGTAACTTTAAAGGAACGCTATAGCATTAGGAATACAAACCTTTTCTCCCTTGCAGGTCTAGTCTCCTCGGGAAGAATCCAATTATTTTCTAACGCATTGGGGAGGTTAAGGTGCATGCACAGCAAAATGCAGCGCTGCGCTAATAAGATGGTCCCTTTGAGCATGTATGGCACCATCTTGACACCAAGAACTTGTACTGTTACCAGTGGCAATCCCATGTCAAGCATTTGCAGTGAAACCTTGGTTGTCCTAGAATATCCAAAACATAGGTTTGTTGGGAGTCCAGTAAGCATAAAATAATGACAATTTGACTGTTTGGCCTTCGTCAGGCCTTTGTTGTCCTGTCTGCATCACAAAAATTATGCAGGCTTGTTTGTTTTCTTTTTGGCTCACTCTTGCGTCCTAAGTTAGGTCCGGTTGGTGCTTGGTTATTTTGATACTTGGGTGCTTCATAAATCTCAGCTGACTGCATTCCTGCCTTTCGGTCCTCTCCTTTTTTACCTCACTTTCAGTATCCTGCCTTCACACATTGGTGTCTGATCACCAGTAATCAGTATTCAGTAGACTTTGACTCTTTGCTGCTTGTCCACACCATGCGACTAGACTTGACCATGATTTTGGTTCCGTTATCTTTAGACTCCTTGGTTTTCTGGCCTTGGTCACAGATCCCTCACAGATTTATTATTTTTCCATTGCTTGTCAAGTCCTCTGTGCTGTCACTCTCTCTTTTCAGGAGTTTATCCCCATTCCAGGTTTTCCATGGAAGTACGGTAGTTTTTTTGTATTGGTGTCCTCTACTCAGCTTGTGACTTCCTATTGAACAATTCAAAGATGAAAAGTACGATGGCCGTTACATGGAGGTTGCAAGATACCAGCACTAATCATTTGTAATTCAGTTTTGCTATAGCTATAACAGTGTGTTGTGTCCTCTTCAGTATGGTCCTTTTCAGCTGCTTTGATGCAACATCACTGCTGTATTCTTGCACATGCAAAATCCGCAAGATGCTCCAAATGACAGTGAGGGCAGTAGCTCCATCCAGTGTCAAGTAGTGTTGGGTGGAGGATAAATATTGAGACAAAGTGTATCTTTTAACTGTGTTGGAATTAGATACAATATGAGTATTTCATAAAGGTTTGTTTCCTTAATGTGGTTTAGTCACCTTCTGGGGTCTGTGTATATTTTGCAAAGATCCCCAGTGGTGACAATGTTGCTTGGTGTGGGGTGACCTATGCGTGCAGCAGAGGGGAGATAAACTTGCCTGATGCTGTTCCCTGGGCAACCCCACAAAATTTCCTGGCATATGTGAGAGTACAACACTGATGGCTATGGATTAGACCATGGGGATTCTCAATAGATATTCTCTCACGATGAGCACGTTAATGTCTTCCTGTCCCAGTCGTTGCTAGTGAAGGTTGTGGGAATTTGCAAACTGTGGCGGTGGTATCTTTTTTAAAGGATCACTATAGGGTCAGGAACGCAAACGTGTATTCCTGACCATATAGTGTTAAAACCACCATCTAGCCCCCTGGGCCCCTAATGCCTCCATAAATATAGTAAAAAACTTACTGTATTCAAGCCAGAAGCTGTAACTCTGCATGCAGTTTGCCTAAAAAAAAACAAGCAGTCTGCTGACATAATCAGAAGTCGTAGCCTGATCCAATCACAATGCTTCCCCATAAGACTGGCTGAAACTGACAAAGAGGCAGATCAGGGGCAGAGCCAGCATGATTCAAACACAGCCCTGGCCAATCAGCTTCTCCTCATAGAGATTAATTGAATCAATGAATCTCTATGAGGAAATTTCAGTGTCTGCATGCAGAGGGAGGAGACACTGAATGTTTGGATGCATTTTAGGCAGCCATGGCCCAGGAAGGATCTCTAACAGACATCTGAGGAGTGGCCAGTGAAGTTATCACTAGGCTGTAATGTAAACACTGCATTTTCTCTGAAAAGACAGTGTTTACTGCAAAACGTCTGAAGGTAATGGTTTTACTCACCAGAACAAATTCAATAAGCTGTAGTTATGGTGACTATAGTGTCCCTTTAAGTTTTGTTAACTGTTGGAGAAATACAGAGCACAAAGTAGTCCCTACTTTGTCATATATTTTGACTGGTTTAGAATATTAGTGGCATTCCAACAGAGTTTATGAGCATTTCATATAGATTTTTTTTTTCTTTATGAAATGCTCAAATTTGGGGTGGGGGTAAAGGGATCTGCCGCTTTTAATGATTCACAATATGATGGTATTTTGTATGGGAAGCATATAACGTAGTACAATACAGCAATTCTAAAACTTTGGGAACAACTGTGCAACCCTGTGAATAGCTTTCAGGCAAACAAGAAAAATTAACTAGAACTATTGATATTAGAACTATTTTTGATGCACCCAGTTAGCGATTACAATAATGGCTAAATGGCAGCATTCCAGGAACACAACAAAGTAATTTAGGGATGAAAAACTGTATTGTGAAAACACTCCTGTTAAATTTATAGACTAATCTTGTGGAGCTTTCGTTGAATAAAAACCTGAATCTTCCTATTATTTTTTTTTTATCCTACTTTAAGAACAGATTGGTTTAGTTCGGTCAACTATTGTATGTTGTGGTTAAAGTTTTCTGAGGGAGGGAGTTATGTTACCTTTTTGTACTTTCACTTTTCTAAAATGATTTTACCAGTATCCAAAAACAATTGTTGTGGTTTAGACAATGCAGGCACCATAACCATTACAGTCCACTGTGGTGGTTATGGTGCCAGGAGTCTCCTGGACCCATCCCACCGCAAGTAATCAGACTGTATTTAATTGGTTTGACACGTATCTGGATGCCTCGTATCCGGCCTTCTTTTCTTATATATCTAAAGCAGATGTTCCCCTTCTGCAACAGATATAGCCCTATAACTTTTGGCCCTATTTGGTAAAATGAATTGACTGCTTGATGTCATTACTTATATCTACTTTAGATAAATTAAAAAAAGGAGGGTATAACCGGGGGAACCTCAGGCAACCCACGTAAGTGTCAAAATGGTCAAAAACAATTTGACTGCTTTTCATGTGATGACTCCAAAGGACCCCTGACTCCATAACCACTGCAGTAAGCTGTATTGGTTATTGTGACTAAACTACCCCTTTAAACAAAACAAGTTCTAACTGGTAAAAATGGGCAGGGGTGGGGGGTTTAACAAAATAAATAAGTGTTTTTTGTTGTTGAAGGAAGCACTGCTATTGGCACCTCTTGTGAAATACACTACAAAAGATGAAAACAAAATAAGAAGCCCCTGTTGTGGCTGTGGAGACTGCCTATAAACACACAGCCTTGGACAGCCATAACCAACTTTGGCACTGCAGTTGTTAGGGAATTACATTTCCTTTAATACACATTTAGGCTGACAAGAATGGGAAATGTAGTTCACAAACATCTGTAGTGCGTATTGGTTCTTATTGGCTAGAAATTTACAATAATGGCACTGCTGCAAACAGGAAGCTTCACAAAACAGCCCAACTAGAGTCAAAGGAGAAGACAATTCAACTCTAGCTGTTTTCCTTTTTTTTTCTTCACGAAACTCTGTTCCCTCCACGTCTGGAAGAAGTTGTCTTTTGGGGGGGAACAACAATATATCATTTCATTTTACGATTAACAAATTACTTTAAATGCACATTAATGCCTATCCTGTTCGAATTATATAAACTAAAGAAGGGGTTTGTGTTTCACCGAATCCTAAAGTTCTCTTTTTTTTTTTTTTGGTTTTTTTTATTTTTATTTTTTTTTTCTTTGTGTGCAGGGCTGGTACCCGGGAAGTCCATAATAAATTGGAGAAGAACAGGTGTGTATAAAGCCCAGACCCTGTTTCTTGGATAAACTCTTAATTACCACTATATCAAAAAGATGTACATGGTATGCCTCTGTTAGCTTTTTTTTAGTCAATAGAATTTAAATCAGTAGGCATGTCTCTGCCTAAGTTTTGCCGTTATCTGTAGGTTAACACCTTCAGAGTAGTATTAAAGTGATGGGTAACCCCTATCTCCCCTGTACACTACAATCCATATGATATACCTAAGTGTACTGCAGGTTAATGTATTGGTTGCTTGAGCATATGAAACTTGTTTGCAATTCAGCAAATTTCTCTTGTCTTAAACGGGATAAAAGCTATTTTTTTATTATAGCAATCCTAATGCCTCTTTCATTTAGCGCTGGAAGAATTGCCAACAGCTTTCCTAGGAAATTGGGTTTGGGCAACAGCAATTCCATTTAGGCATTGATAGCATGCTTTCTGGATTTTTGTGGCTAAGCTGTTTCTTGTCTTGTGGTTTTGTTTTTTTTTGTGTTAGATTTTTTTTTCTTTTATTCCACGAATCTATGTTCTGCTAACCTGGGTGAGATGCTTTTTTTCTTTTGTTTTGTTTTTTTTTCTTTCTTTTTTTTTTTTTTTTTTTCTTAATCTCATGGTGTGAACATACCCCAAAAATCCAAGGCCAAAACTTGTGTTTTGGTTTTCTACCTGCAAATTATAGGTGGACATGCAATCTGGAACACCAGTAGCGTACCAAGTACTTTTCATTCTGCCAGTCAATGTTTTCAATTAAAAGTGTTTTTTTTCCCAACTTCACTCGAGATTTATAAATCGAAATGATGAAAGAATTTGGACTTTGCCAAAATATTGTCATGAAACTACTGTTTTGGTTCGTGGCATTAATCCCTGCCCATGTTCGTCTGAGCTATAATCTTGACTGCTTTGTATGAAGTCTTTAATTTTATATGTTGCACAGCGAAAAAAATCCTGTTAATGGTTTTTGTTCTTTCTATCCCTCTCCCCTTGTTTTGTGTACAGTATATGTATGAACTCTTAATCACTAAGCTTTCTGGGATAGCTGACCTGCTTCTCTATCCCATAGGCGGGCACACCTAAAGGAATGCTTTGAAACGTTGAAAAGAAACATCCCCAATGTGGATGACAAGAAGACATCGAACCTCAGCGTGCTACGAAGTGCTTTGAGATATATCCAGGTAGGACTGTTACATTTTTAAAGATGTAGTGCAAAAGGTTGATCCTCCGCTGTTGTCAAAGTACACTATAGGCACGAATACAATTTTAGCTTAATTAAGCAGTTTTAGAAACATAGAATGTGACGGCAGATAAGAACCATTCGGCCCATCTAGTCTGCCCAATTTTCTAAATACTTTCATTGGTCCCTGGCCTTTTCTTATATCTAGGATAGCCTTATGCCTATCCCACGCATGCTTAAAATCCTTCACTGTGTTAACCTCTACAACTTCAGCTGGAAGGCTATTCCATGCATCCACTACCCTCTCAGTAAAGTAATACTTCATGATATTATTTTTAAACCTTTGCTCTCTAATTTAAGACGATGTTGTGGTAGTCTCCTCCTTTACTGTGTTGATTCCTTTATGTATTTAAATGTTTCTATTATATCTCCCCTGTCTCGTCTTTCCTCCAAGCTACACATGTTAAGATCCTTTAACCTTTCCGGGTATGTTTTATCCTGCAATCCATGAACCAGTCCAGTAACCCTTCTCTGAACGCTCTCTGAAGTATCAATATCCTTCTGGAGATACGGTCTCCAGTACTGCGTACAATACTCCAAGTGAGGTCTCACCAGTGTTCTGCACAATGGCATGAGCACTTCCCTCTTTCTACTGCTAATACCTCTCCCTATACAACCAAGCATTCTGCTAGTGCAACTTTTAAATAATCCCATTTCTCTTGGACTCCATTTAAATTGCTCCAGTCTGATAATGACTCCTTTACACATATTTTAATTTTAGAAAAGTCTGTTTTTCTAAAGTCTAAAACTTTTGTTTTTGTGTGGTGTGACTCAGTCATTGTTCTTTGGTACATAGTTTGTGCAGTGAGCCTGCAGGGGCATGATATAGACCAGGGGTAGGCAACCTTTTAGCAGTACTGTGCCAAAATAAGATTGTGATGTCCCGTAGCGTGCCGGTCCTATATTTTTAAATTGAAGTGTGTATGTTGCCGTATTCTGCTTGTGTTATTTATACTGCAGTTGCTTTGCACTGTTGTATTTGTGCATATGTGGAGTGTTATATTGTATATGTTCATTAGTAGTTTGTGGTATTATTGTGTATGATACCTATGTATGGGGGCTGCTTGATAAATTGAGTGTGTTGATGGACATGTCACATTGTGTGTTTGGTGGAGTGTGTATGTGAGAGGTGTGAATGTATATGGATTGTTAGTGGTGGTGTGTTTGTGCTGACTTTGTGTGTGAGCTGTTCGTATTATTTGTATGAGGGGAGGGTTATTCTGCATCTCTGTGTATATCTAGCTGTGTGGGTGGCTTCCCTGGGTTCCAGTGGGGACCGTGCTGGCCAGGTACAGGTCAATGGCAGGAAATGCGATAGCTGCTCCTCTACTCCAGTGCAGATTCCCATTCACAAGTGTTGGAATAAGTTATTTGAGATCATTTGCTCTACGTGCTGCAATGCAGAAATTGATAATTGTCCCTCACCACCTTTTCGCATTAGCAGATATCTGAAGTTCCAGGCCAGAGAGGCTTGTTTAGCTCTAGCAGCCTTGAGTGCCGTGCAAAGATATACCTTGAGTGCTGGGCATGGCACACATGCCATTGGTTGCCTACCCCTGATATAGACACACAATTTTCTTCATTAAGCTAAAGTTGTTTTGATGCCTATAGAATCCCTTTAAAGCAGAGTTTTTTTAGTTTAAAAAAATAAATATATATATATATATTTATTTATTTTTATTATTTTTTTTAATTATTGCTATTATTATTATTTTTTTTAAATGTAACTATTGCTCCCTGACATATTTAATGTGTAACCTTACGCTTTCAATGCTTGATTAGCTTTAAAAATCTTATATCACCCAATAATCTATTACCAGAAAAAAGAATAGCGACTATGAATACAGAATAAAACAGTAAACTTGAGGTGCTAAACTTAGGGAAACTCCAGATTTATCTAAACAATGTTATAGATGTCAGTCTACCTGATGAGAAGCTAATTATATTACAGCAATTTTGGATAATCCTCCAAACTACCACCTATTTAAGTTTCTATGTATATGGATTGTTTATTAAAGAGAAGAGGTACAGGTAAAATTATGTACCCACCCACAAAGCTAATTGATAAGATGAAAGTGGTGAGACAGGCATAGAAACCCGGAATATGGGTCGGGGGAAGAGATATTTCAAGGACTTGAACCAGAAACTGTAATTATACAAACAGTGGATAATGGAATGGGCAGCAATCATCAGATGCTTCTCATAAAGAAATGTGAGAAGCATTCAAAGTGTTAGGCGGTATTACATTTAATGATCTCTGCCATGGAGGAGGAGCTAGCCACAGCTTGGGAGAAAAGGTGAGTAAAATCACCTTTTCAGCGCATGTGGAGAGGGACGGGAACCTAAACAGCCATACGAGGATGATCGTATCCCTTAAACGAAAATGCATTAATTCAACATAGGTATCTTGTACGCTTTGTAGCCGAATGGTTTCTCAGGTCTTAGGTCAGAATTGCTGGTATTTCTCTTTATGTGTACTCTTTCTGTCTTTTCTCAAAGCATGGACTTTAAACACAGCCATGCATTGAATATATTGACAAAGGGCCCTGATTTTTCACAGGATTTACAATAGATGGAGAAACAGTAATTTATATACACCATAAAGCTGTCATCGGTTCCCCTCCTTTAGTGTTTTCATCCTTCTTCATATGCCAGCTGTGTGCCTTCCTCTATTGCACCCTGTGCCAGAATCTAAGAATATAACTATTGGTAGTAGATTATTAAGACTTTATATTGGGATTACTGTGATACCAAGCATACACAAACAAATAAATAACACATATAAAATTAATTATGGAGCTGTGTGGTTTATATATATAATAAGCAAAAGATTGGGCCACAAACTGTTAAAATAAGTCATTGTATTATCCGGTCCTGTCTGAGAGCTACAGCCACACAATGTTTATTAAAATAAAATCCTTTGGACGAAATTGAGTCTGATATGATTTGCAGAGGCTTGCCTAGTTTTTAAAATTATAGCGTTGTCTTGTATAATTCGTTCCCATAAAGTACTGTATGCTTTGCTCTCATTTACACGTACCCATCTAAAGCAGTCTGCATTTTTCTGTAATACAAAAGCTGTGTATGAGGCATTGTTTTAATATTATTGTGGTATGGGCAAATCGTAAAGCTCCCTGTCCTTACTATATAAACTACATTACTGCTAGCAGTTTGTGAGTTCCAGCCTGTCTTCATGTCATATGAATACAGCATAAATCGATGACAATATTATAGTTTGTTTTATTTTCTTTCTAAATTCAACATCTATGAAACGTCAGCTGCAGTTTTGCGTGTGTTTGTTTTCCCATTAATAGTTGTATTGAGAACTTTCATTTGCATTAGTACATAGTATTTGTTCAAACTCCCTTTAAGTTAGTAATACTGTGTACATGTCAATATTAAGGTCATATAAGCAGAATGTTACATTTAAAAAATAAATCTGTTTGAATAAACAGTTACTTCTAGAACCCCCAGTTTCCAACAGTTGAACCACCGAAGTTTGTCCTCTGGCACCAGATACAGCAGTCTCTAGTCTTTTTTTGTTTTAAATTTTAAGTGGGTCTGTCACATTATAGAATTTCTTAAAGATATAAGCTTAATGAAATGCTGTTTAAAGATTGCATTGAAATTTCACTGAAATTCTGACGCAATCCAGAGCTACAATAAGACAAAGTAGGGGTCTTATGGTAAAGCCGGAGGTTGGCAAAAGGAGAAGCGACTCTGTCAACGTTTGGCCAATCTCATCAGCTGTCATAAATGACGGCTGTGGGATTCAGGATTTGTCTGTGCAGGCCCTCACAGGATTCTCTATAGACCTCAGTGTTGTACACTTGTGAATATGCAAGAGTATAGCACTGGCATGGTCAGCTGAAGCACCAGGAGTCAAAACTATCATCATGAAGATTTTATGTTATGGGAGTGGCCGTGTTCCTTTAAAAGTTACCACACTCAATTTTTTTTTCCTTCTAGCTTATTTTTAACTGTGTTTAATTGTTTTAGTTCTACTTCAAGCTGTATTGTGTTATGGCATATCTGTAGATATATTGTTATTTTTATGTAACTTCATATGACGTCCTTTTATGGGCAGGATATTATTGCAGCTTGTATTATGTTTTTTAAACACTACGATAATATTGGGACAAAAATAAAGTCATGCCTTTAAAACATAATCACACCATCACTCTATCCATTGCAGAACTCTCCAGCCAGACATGAGTTGCAATCAGTAAATATCTGTCTATCACCCCCACACCCTCTTATTTATTTATTTATTGTTTTAAATATTTGATGATAATGCCTCTTAAAAAGATAATATATGTAGAGCTTTTCTCCTAGCCAAATTGTAAGTGCTTTAACGGTGAGGGTTCTTCACACAAAGATTATGAGAATGGGCTATTCCTAGGAACACCATTGCTCCCAGTTGATTATGATGTGTAAGATGATGTGAAGCATTGATTGACATATCTTGTATTTAAATGATCAGGGCTAGCAACTTTTTTTTTTTTTTTAATGATTATTTATTAGCATGCATTATGCTGCTTTTTTTTAAAATTTTTCTGGACTGATTAGTTTGAGTTGAAAATGTCCATTAACCTTTGACAAGTAGCTTAGGTTCCCAACTGAAAACAGCTCTTTTCTGGTTGGTGTCAATGATATTCTTCCAGCCGTGAGTAAATTAAAGGATCACTATAGGGTCAGGAACATAAACATGTATTCCTGACCCTATAATGTTAAAACCACCAACTAGCCCCCCTGGGCCCCTCATGCCTCCATAAATATAGTAAAATCTTACTGTATTCAAGCCAGAAGCTGTAGATCTGCATGTTGTTTGCCTAAAAACAAAAAACAAAACAAGCAGTCTGCTGAAATCATCAGAAGTGGTAGTCTGATCCAATCACAATGCTTCCCCATAGGATGACAAGGCGGCAGATCAGGGGCAGAGCCAGCATGATCAGGGCCGGCGCGTCCATAAGGCGGCACAGGCGGCCGCCTTAGGGCGCACCGGCTCTGGGGGCGCAATATTTCAGTGACCGGCAGGAGGGAAGCTCTCCCTCCTGCCAGGCCACCTTTTGGATCCCCGGCGCGGCGTGCGGCTGTGCTGTGATCAGACGCGGCGAGGGAGCTCTAATTTCCACGCTCTGCTCCCTCGCGCGCTGTCTGCTGATACCGCGGGAGCCGGAATATGACGTCATATTCCGGCTCCCAGCCTCACTTTGCGGCGCGCGAGGGAGCTGAGCAGACCGCTCAGAGGAAGAGCTCCCTCGCTGGCCGCCCGCCCAGCAGCCACTGGACCACCAGGGAGGTAATGAACCCCTTCCCCCCCAGCACTCCCAGAGGTAAGGAGGTGGGGGGGGGGAGTGAATAAAAAAAAAAAGTGTTAATGTGAGTGAGTGAGTGTGTGTCTGTTAATGTGTGTGTGTTTTGTTAGTGTGTGTGTGTGTCTGACTGTGTGAGTGTGTGTCTGCTAGTGAGTGAGTGTGTGTCTGTTAGTGTGTGTCTGACTGTCAGTGAGTGTGTGTTTGCCTGTGAGTGTGTGTGTGTGTGTGTGTCAGTGTGTGTCTGTTAATTTGTGTGTGTGAGTTTGTGTGTGTGTGTGTGTGTGTGTCTGCTAGTGAGTGTTAGTGTGTATGTGTGTGTCTGACTGTGTGTGTGTCAGTGAGTGTGTCATTTAATGTGTGTTTGTTAGTGTGTGAGAGTTTGTGTGTGTGTCTGCTAGTGAGTGTGTGTCTGTTAGTGTGTGTGTCTGACTGTTTGTCTGTTAGTGTGTGTGTGTGACTGTGTGTCAGTGAGTGTGTGTGTGTCTGACTGTGTGTGTGTGTCAGTGAGTGTGTGTGTTTCTGTTAGCGAGTGTATGCGGATCTGTCAGTGAATGTGAGTGTGTGTGCTAGTGAGTGTGTGTATGTGTGTGTTTGACTGTGTGTCAGTGAGTGTGTTTCTGTTAGCGAGTGTATGCGGATCTGTCAGTGAATGTGTGTGTGTGTGTGTGTGTATTTAGCGGGCGGGGGGAAGGGTTGGGAGGGGACTGGTGCGGTGGGGGGGGGTGCCTGAGTTTTGTCCTGCCTGTTAATTTATTAAAATAATTAGTGAGTGTGTGTCTGTGTGTCTGTGAGTGACTGTCTGTGATTGTGTGTGTGTCTGTGTGTGAGTGTATGTGTGCCGGAGTGTCTGTGTGCCTGTGAGTGACTGAGTGTGTGCATGAGTATGTGTGTCTGTGAGTGCTTGTATGAGTACTGCATGTGAGTGTATGAGTGTGGCAGTGTATGTGTGTCTGTCAGTGTGTGTTTGTGAGTGTCTGTCAAATCAGTGAGAATATCTTTGTCATTGAGTCTGTGTGTGAGTATCAGTGTGCCTGTCAATGAATGAGTGTGTGTCAGATCAGTGAGTCTGTGTGTTTGTCATTGAGTGTGTGTGACTGTCAGTGTGTATACACCACTGAGTGTAGCGTGGTGGAACGCAGTACAGGAGCTTCTGTTTCCTGTACCCGGCCAGACTGACTGGAGGTGCTCACTGAGAGAGCACTCCCTGTCAGTCCGGCCAGGTACAGAAAATTGAAGCTCCTGTAGGGGATATCCTCCACTCGGCAACGCTACAAGAGAGGTAGGAGGCACACCAGGAAGGGGAGTGCGACCACTAAGGGGGTGGAGGGTGCACCAAGGGACAGGGAGGGGAGGGGAGAGAAACACCAAGGGACAGGAAAAAGAGGGGAGAGCCTAGAAGAACACTAAGGGACAGGGAAGGGAGGGGACCACTAATGGACGGGGAGAAGATGTTATTTGGGGGGGGCGGAAAGATACATCTTCGCCTATGTACCCAAAAATCCTTGCACCGGCCCTGAGCATGATTCAAACACAGCCCTGGCCAATCAGCATCTCCTCAGAGATGAATTGAATCAATGAATCTCTATGAGGAAAGTTTAGTGTCTGCATGCAGAGGGAGGAGATACTGAATGTTTGGATGCATTTTAGGCAGCCATGACCCAGGAAGAATCTCTAACAGACATCTGAGGAGTGGCCAGTGAAGCTATCACTAGGCTGTAATGTAACATTTTCTCTGAAAAGACCGTGTTGACAGCAATAAGCCTGAAGGTAATGATTCTACTCACCAGAACAAATTCAATAAGCTGTAGTTATTCTGGTTACTATAGTGTCCCTTTAAACTAATGTCCATTTTACCAAAAGCATTACAACAATGTAAACTATTTGTAGTAATGTACTGTAGAAATTATTGATTGCCTGACTGCTTTCCCTTTGAACAAATTTGCCTATGCAGCTGCCTACTTCTCTTCAGTCTAAAATTAGGAGTGGTGATGGGGTTATTTTACTGTGGTATTATGCCTCCTTTCATAATCTTCCTTGGACTTCCTGTAGTTTAGCATAACACAAGATGTCACTGAAGAAAATGGGAATGCCAGGATTAAAGGGGTTCTATAGTGTAAGGAATACAAAGTTTTATTCTTTACATTATAATTCCCTCTGTGCCCTATAGTCGCTTATTCGATTCCAGCACTGATCTACCTCGGCGCTGGGTTGGTGCCTCCTCCGACATCATCCAACGTGGTAATGCAGTGAGGACATACAGCATCATTTAGACCAGGCATAGGCCACCTTCGGCACTTCATATGTTTTGGACTACACCTCCCATGATGCTTTGCCAGCATTATGGGTGTAAGAGCATTATGGAGGATGTAGTCCACAACATCTGGAGTGCCGAAGGTTACCTACCCCTGAATTTTAGGCAAAAAAAAAGTTGGTTAGCCACCAGGAAGTGCCACTAGTGGCTGACCACCCTTTAACTGAAGTCATATCACGCACTAACACTGTGGAGTCTGTTCTCTAAACCCCCAATTTGCTTTTGCAGTTTTGCCTGATTTCATTCGGTTAAATTCTCTAGCAATCCGTTGTTAAAATTAATAATGTGCAGACTTCTCACATTTACAGTAAAGGATGTGAAATCTTAACCTTCCTGTTGAAATAACTGGCAGGTCGTGTTATTTCATCCGGCGGATAATGATTTCAAATCTTGTACAGTGTGTCGTGACTGACAAAGTTCATGCATATTGCTGATGGGTTCAGCATAAAATATTATCGTATTATTTCACTAAAATATGGAACTAGGAATATTTACTTCTACCTAATGCAGAAGAATTTTTCCCGTCTTTCAACAACTCTCAAGTAAATTTCATGCAACAGGTACCAGTTAAATACAAGAATAAAAAAATAGGAAAGAGGAGTTTTTGATGTTCTACGTATAGGTCCTTCTTACATGTCACTGCCCTATATCGATACCTTAGCATTAACAGGAAGTGGTCACTAACAGAGATAAGCTTAAGGCACCAGTTCTTATGAAAAAGCTGTCACTTTCATCAAGTAATGATTAGTGCGCCTGTAACAAGACCGCAAACTGTTAACTTACAACTATCCCTTCAATCCTTTGAAATTGTGAAAAATTAAAACCAAAAGATACACTACACTAATTTACAGCAATATATTCACTAAAAAATGTATTTAAAAAAATTAGTTGGCTGAATACAGAGCCCAATTACTCTTGTAGCTAACGATAACGCATCCTGCAGCACAGCAAGAGGACATAGTCTTAAATTAGAGGGGCAAAGGTTTAAAAATAATATCAGGAAGTATTACTTTACTGAGAGGGTAGAGTATGCATGGAATAGCCTTCCAGCTGAAGTGGTAAAGGTTAACACAGTAAAGGAGGAGACTATATTTAAAAGAAGAAAAACTACCACAACAAGAGGACATAGTCTTAAATTAGAGGGACAAAGGTTTAAAAATAATATCAGGAAGTATTACTTTACTGAGAGGGTAGAGGATGCATGGAATAGCCTTCCAGCTGAAGTGGTAGAGGTTAACACAGTAAAGGTGTTTAAGCATGCGTGGGATAGGCATAAGGCTATCCTAACTATAAGATAAGGCTAGGGACTAATGAAAGTATTTAGAAAATGGGGCAGACTAGATGGGCTGAATGGTTCTTATCTGCCGTCACATTCTATGTTTCTATGCAGCTAGAAGTTTTATAGTCCTTTTTAAGCGAGTTATTACAAGGAAGCAATTTCCTAGTATCTTTTATTTCAGGGCAGGGTTGGTCATCCCCATACCTCTGCCACAGTCATGGCAGAGCAATGTTTAAATGGGCAGTGGCTTTTTTTAATAGGGATGCTACTCCGCCGCACGGAGTGAATCGGTGACGTTGTCTGAGCTCTGATGAATGTGGTGCCTGGGGTTAAAAAAAACAAACATTGGTTTTAGGCCATTTTTGAATTGCGGCCATTATTATTATTATTATTCTTTCTTGGGCTGTGATGCAGTAATTTATTAAATTGCCTGATTTTGGATAATGTCTGTGTAATTGTCATTCAGCAGTCAGTGCTGTGGGAGAGCATGGTTCACACAGTGTTTATTATTTGGCAGGGCTGCTGTGTGGTGTGTAATCCTGCCCAGTGTGGAGAGCAGTGAGGACACAAAGTTCACACACAGCGAACACTAAAACCGTTTCATTCGATCTATTCTTCCGTGAAACGTGTTTAATGAGTTCGCATTTTGACCCCCTTCCGGCCGCCGTACTTTCTGCTCACTCGGCGCGCTCTTCTTCTAGTTTCACCAGCGGCCAAAGGGTTACTTTTTTTTTTTTTTTCTGTCAGTCACGCCCTCCCTTTGACGTCAGCGCACGCGCTTGAAGGGGGGGGGTGAGAGAGGGAGAAAATAATAAATAACAGTGGTGAGCGCGTGCGTACTCTCTCCCTCCCCTCGCGTTCTCTCCGCCCAGGTCCACGTGCGCATAGAGCACATGGCTACCCCCGAGCCTGGGTGACGTCAGTTTCTCCAGCCCCGCCCTCGGTGAGCCAGGACGTGTTTTTTTTTGCTGAGAGGTTGGGTTCGGATGGGAGGGTCTGTAGCACGAGATCCGCAGCGCGTGCTTCTTCTACTGCGTGTAAGTTCGAGTAGTGGGCGGAGCTTGGCGTGAGGTGTGCTGCCCCCTGCAGGCCGCCTGTTGTGTTGTCACTTTGTGTGTGTGTTTGTGTATATTTATATATATATATCTAATATCTATATACACATACACACATACATGCAATAACTGATTTATTTTTTTTTTATAGAAAACTAAATTAGCTGCTTAGAAGAAATGTGTATTTGCAATTTAGTTGTAGGTAAATTGTGCTCATTGTTATTTACAAAAACATGAATTGAAAGCATGTTTTCTAAATTCAAGCTGAGAATAGTCAAGATGTTAGGATTCCCCCCATCCACGTGGCATTTTTATTAAACATGGACAGCTGTTTTATGCGTCTGTAAGTATACTATAGATTGAAAGTGTTGTATTTATTTTTAAAGTTTTTGGATAAAAGCAAAGGTTTTTATAAAATTAAAACCTGTAAAATCAATAGTTACCTTCAATTTAGTGACAAGTTCTCCCCGATCTGTTCCACGCCTCCTCCGTTGTCACTGCGCATCCATCATTGTACGTCGTCACCGCTCGTCATCCTTCACGGTCCGTAGTCTGATCAAATATTAGGGAGTGAGGGCGGCATAGATTTAGGGTTTGAAGTACAAAAGAAAGAGAAGGGGAACAGAATGCTCAATAACGTAATGTGAAGGAGAACGGAGTGAGGGCCCAGTGTCGCAATGTAAAGTGCAATAGAGGGAAATTTCAATTTAATAATGTAATTTAAAGGGGAAAGAGGTCTTCACATTGCAGGTGCATTCACAGTGCTGCCTGTTTACATCTGTCACTAGCACACAAACGTGCAGATTGTTCTGATTAGACGACATTTCAAGCAGACGCCCTGCACACACAGATTTCTTGCTCTGTGACCATTCCTAAAAGCAGAAGTGGTCATGGAGGTTGTCGTACCTCTTTAATCTGGATAACCTAATGAGAGCCGTCAAAAATACATCTTTTATTTGCAGGTACAATTTCCTCTTAAGCATTTCAAATGGTACTGGTTCATCTTTTTCATCTAAACTGCAATGCTTTGCAGACGTGTGATTGCCAATACCTGGCTCTATACAGCTTGCTTAAAGGGACACTCCAGGCCTTCTGCCCATTGGAGTGGTCTGGGTGCCAACTCCCACCACCCTTAACCTTGCAAGTTTAATTATTGCAGTTTTTATAAACTGCAATAATTACCATGCAGGGTTAAGTTCTCCTCTAGTGGCTGTCTATCAGACAGCCACTAGAGGGATTTCCGGCTTCTTAAAACACGAAAAATGTTTTAAACGACACAGGAAGTCCTCACGCTATGCACGAGGACCTCCACCGTCGCCGGAATTGAATAATGTTTTTCTATGGGGAGATCTAATGCGTGCGCGGCCATTGCCGGCTTCATGGGCGGAGCCTGACCCAGCGCCAAGGGACATCCACTGAAGGGGTTTTATTGTGCCTGTTGAGGTTATGTCTGTTTACGACAGAGTAGGGCTTGACAAATTTGCTTTGAATCTCGGAGCCAGCTAAAAAATTATAAAGCTTTGTTTTAAAACAAAAAACTTTCTACTAAAAAAAAGTTAGGAACCAGCTTTAAAAAAAAACAAAAAACTAGCAAAGCTTTATTTTTAGCAACAGAAATAAAAATTTTTAAGGGACACAATAGTCACCATAACCACTTTTCTGCATGATAGCCTGCCAATGCTTTCTTATGGGAAAGCATTGGATCGCTGAGATCCAGATTGCGTGGGAGATAAGGTGAGTAAAAATATCTTTCACATGAGATTGGTGGGGGCCTGTACACAAAAAATACTGGAACCAAACGACGATGGACATTTAAGTTGCACAAATAATGAATATATTCTGATTTGACACCAGATGTTTTATGCAATGCATCAGTTTTTTCACTTTGATTTTTGTGGCCATTGACATGCCTTGTTATTTTTAGAATTTAAGTACCAATACTCACACATACTCACTGACAGACAGTCTCTCACACACTCTCAAATTATTTGTTTTATTGGAATTTACGTCCAGCCTGCCTCCCTACCTTTGGGACAGCTGGAGTGGAGCATTTCCCTGAGGTCCAGTGGGGCTGCTATGAACCTGGGGTGAGGGACGGGGGCTAAAAGGTGGCCAGTGCTGGACGGGCTGACACCCAGATGCCAGAACAAAATTCATTGTTGCCATGGCAACCTGGCACCTGGAATTTGGCGAGCCATACCTTAGAGGGTGTATTTTTTTCTCTATTAATGACAGCAGTTTGGATTTCCCTTCATCTTCGTCAAAGATTCTGTGGTTCAGTTGTTGAACTGTGGTCCTAGTCTGTTGCTGGAATATAATCATTAATTAGCTGACTTTGGGCTCTCTCTTCCTAAAAATCATTCATACATTGTCTAACTGTGTTGTTTTAAAAGAAGACCGAAGGGATTGATGCACGCCATGGTGCTCTAAAACATCCTGTGGGATCCTGAACAATTATTAAATGGCCAGATAAACCCCTTTCCTCCCCCTTCTGTGTGGTCTAGTTATCTTGTTCTGTAGCATGTGTTGCGAATCTTGGCATTGAGATTTTGTTTACTAGTATGACTGCAGATCCCATGGTAATATAGCCTCTAAATTCTGTCTGTGTAACCGGGAGAAACTTCTATGGAGTACGTGGGTGGCTTTGCTAAGTATTGGTGAGCTGCCAAATCTTTTTACTTGCCACAGAATCCAAGGGATAAGGCCGGACTTTTAACTAGTTTATAAGACACTGCAAATAGAATTACTCTTTCATTTGGAAAGGTGGTTAACACAAGGTGTCCTTGGCTGTTGTATAACTACAACTCTTATTATTCTCTGCTAGCCTTTAAACTAGCAATGCCTCATGGGTGTCGTAGTTCTACAGCTGCTGGGATGACATGTTGGCAATACCTAGCTTAACCTATTTTGCATCGAGACTGTTTTCAGGCATCAAAGGGCATAACATGAATGTGCCCAGGAGCAAGGTTTTTTTTTAGAAGTCACACAAATGCATTCATTAGTTGCTTGATAAATTGTCTCTTGCTTGTATGCATTTTGTATAATGGTTGTCCTTGGCATTGCTGTAGTTTAACACTTCAGTTTGCTGTAATTTTTCTGATTGTTTATAAAAATACCGACTTTAATACGAAACACACTTTTATAATTGTGGGCAGTAACAGGCACCGTGGGCTTTTTTTTTTTTCTCATTGGGAAATATGACATCAACTTTTTTTTTTTTAAGTGGCCATGGAGGAAGGAATCTGTATGTGCATCATTTCTCGTTGAAATCAAGAGATTCTGAGATATTTGCACTATTTGCCAGGGGCTAGTTGCACCTCTGGCATATGTGACTTTAGGCAGCCCGGAACACTGCTAATGTCAATTCTGTGCAAAAAATGTCTGTCATCAGCGCGCACAATGCGCGGGTGGTAGTGGAATCCTTGATCTCCCCTCCCTCCTTGTATGATTCAAGCCAGCCTCTGTGCATTGCTTGCTATATATCTGCTTTTTCCCCATTTCTTTCTAATTCCCTTTCTCCATTCCTCTGTCCAACCCCCACTCCCTGCCTCCCCTCACCTGCTCAGACTTTGTGCTTGTACTCTGAGCCTGTGACGTCCAATGAAATGCTTCTCTATGAAGAATTTGATTGGACCACAGAGAGGAAGTGAGGAATACGACATTGAGACGGGGCGTGGACAATCTAGATTCCAGGTAAGTTTTAACTTTACTTTTCAGGGATCTCAGACAGAATAAGGAAATAACAAGTGGCGAGAAACACAAAAACAAAAAAAAAAAACCCCATAAGATAAATTTTTTTTTAGATAAACCTTTTAACTCTGATAAAACAGAAAGCAGCTACATTTAAAGGAACACTCCAGCAGTAAATAAATTATCTATCTGGTGAAGGCAGTAGCCATGTCCTTGTGGTCTATGCCTTCTATACAACACAGGTGTAATGTTATATCGTTGTTGAAGTATGTGAACACTGAGTCCTGTTTGTGTTAACAGACTTTCAGCAGCTCCCTTTTTAAAACACACCTTTGTAGCTCTCAAAGTAAACAATAGGAATTATTTTATTCATAGAAAACTTAAATCTACAAATTAGGTGAATCGTTTGCACCCTTACGCTGACCCATGTAGTTTAATAAGAGGCTTTCATCCTGATGACAATTCCTCTGTTGAAAGTTGAAAGAGCAATGTGACCTGAAGCTGGGAATACAAAGCTGCCACTGTCCAACGCACTAAAAAGGGGGCGGGGTGTAGGGGTTTGAAGGGAGGTAATTTAGGAAAGAACAGAATACTGTGTATTCTGTTGACCTCTCCATAAAATATATTTAATCAAAGTAGGCAACATTGTATATTGTAGTATATCACCACTTGGGTTGTCCAGTGAAAATAAGCTCATGAGTTCCATATAACAAGATTGGAGCCTGTAGTTGCTTTTATTTTATTTGAAATTGCATCCTGCTAAAAAATAGAAACCAGTTTGATTTACACACAACAGTATTTTCAGTATGCCAGTGCTCTCAAGTGTGTAATTAAACTGCACACTTCTATTGCCTTCTAACCCTGTGCATACATTGGCTACATTTAAAGGAACAGTCCAAGCACAGTAAACACTACCAGGCCCTACCAACGTCTCAGAGTAAGTAGTCAAAATGTTTAAAACCAGTTTGGCAATTTTTGCCTGGAGTCCCCCTGGGCACCACTCACTTTACTAAAATAATCTCTACTGTGTAGGGCCTAAAAAGTCAGCTGAGCGTCCAAGGTGCCATGGGAACCTTAGGTAAGTTCTTAAACAGTTCGACTTCTTAATCTGGGAGAGTGCCAGTGTACTCCAAGCACCATAACCACTACAGTGGGTTGTTGTGGTTTTGGTGCTTGAAGGATTCCTCTAATGTACATGAGCTCAAAAGGCTCAGAAACCTGGTGGCTACACTCCAGCAGCAGGGCGGTAAGAAGGGTTGCCCCTAAGCACACTAGAAATTGAGTTTTAACCCAGGCAACTTAAAATGCCTACTTCCTTTTTATAATTACCCTGAAGCATGGTATATTTCCTACTTTTATCACCTGCCTTCGCACAACATGGAAAGTCCTGTTGAGCATCATAGCCTCCAATATCAACAGGCATACAAGTCCATCCATGATACCAAGGTAATGCACTATCTTCAGTGCTGTTCTGCATAGGCCTCAACTCCCATAGCCAGATAATCTTGAAGAGTGGATATGGATACAGGTTCGAGCTACTATCAGCTACCTACTCTACATTGATGAACTCAAGCTGCATGCCAAGAGTTAGCTGGACATTGACTCACTGATCCACATAACTAGGTGACTAGATAAGTGTAGGCGCATGATAGCAAATAAAAGGGAAGATAATCAGAACAGAAGGTGTTCAAGTATCAGGTCAAATAGAAGTTGTAGAGAACAACTACAAGTACCTGGGGTACCACAAATACATGGCATCCGTGAGGAAGCGGCAAGGAGCATAGCAACATCCCAGTACCTCCAGAGAGTCATACAGGTCTTGAGGTCCCAGCTCAATGGCAAGAAGAAGATCCAAGCCATCAACACAAATGCTATACCAGTCATCTAGAATAATAATATGAGCAAGAGTTGTTCACCATGGATTTCAAGACCCGGAAACTGCTCACTATGAATGGAGGATTCCACCCAAAAACCAACACCTATAAACTGTATACCAGCCGGAAGGAATGAGGTCGGGACTAGTAACTGTCAAGGTCACAGTTCTGGATGAAAGACTGAGCATCCACAAGTACATCATGAAGATGGCTCCCAAAAAGGAACCGTTAATGATATGCCTTAGACAACATCCCAAGAGGATACAAAAAAGGAGATGGTTCAATTGCAAGACAAACCTTTCCATTAGTTGTACCATTAGCAGGTAGTGAATGTGGCTCACATTCTGAAATCCTCCAAGTGGTTAGAAAATGTAGGACTGAAAGACTGCACTGAGGCACTAATCTTAACAGCGCTGGAACAGGCACTCAGCACCAGATCAATAGAAGCAGTGTTGCAGACTTTTCAGAGGCCTCTGAGACAACCCAGCACATAGTAGTCAAATGCAAGAGGTTAGCAGGGGCAGCATACACTATTAAGAGGCACAACCACTTTGCTGGGACCGAAATATCTGCAGTGATTATGAGCAGGACCGTCCAAATGCGAGATACCGCAAAGGTTGTTGAGAATGACATGGCTGGTTGTTGAGACCGACATGCAAGTAGTTTTTACCACAAGGAGAGAACAGTGCACTCACTATTAAAAGGAGATTACTTTCACCGGGGTGCAGGTGAAATTTCTTCTCTATTTCCTCTCTGCTAGTTGCAAAGGACACTAAGTAACTAATAAGGAGCCAAGATGGAGATGACCATTGTAGGATGAAGAGATGTGGACTCTAATCTTATTATAAACAATGATATAAACAAGCTGTACTTTGGTACAACATATATAAAGGTTCAAGTAAGTGAGGACAACATTGATGGCATTGGTGTGGATCCTTTTGCTTATAAGTGTCTGTAAATACAGTCCAGGTTTTACTGCAGAGTTGTTCAAAGGATAGATCCTTAGTTTGAGGGTTTACTTTTTGACCACCTCCATTTATGCCAATTGTCCCTGAATTATGTGGGTGATGCCACTCCCCTGTATTTCAGCTTGTTGGCAAATGGGTTCACATCGTACGTAGGGCGCAGTGTGTTATGTCTCATAGAATAGAATACAGAAAATACATTTGCTTAGCAGAGAGTGTGTTTGTTTTGTTTTTTGCCCTGTTAGCTGATTGCTTATTATAACACATAATGCAGCTACTTTTTTTATTGATCCTGTGTTTTTTGCATGACCGCTCATCTTCCAGCTGCTGGAAAAAGGCTTTTGACTGGTGCTATAAGTGTTAGAAATCTGTTCTGTGATACAGAAAGCAAAGCTTGACCATTAATATATAGGGCATTCAAAGACCAAGAGCTTGATGTGCGTTTGGTTGCTTAGCAATGGGATGATTAGTCACCCAGATGGCTATAAAGACAGTCTAATTTAAAAAAATAATGTGTGTGTATATATATATATATATATATATAATGTAATTTATTTTTAAAGAATTTTATTAAAGTGTATTAATATTTTATGTATTTATTTTAAATAACTAATCAGAGCAACATATCGTAAAAGTAAAAATACTCTCAATTTAAGGGTGTGTATGCATATATGAATTTTAAGCCCTATTTTTAATATAGGGCTTAAAATTTGAAGTCCTATACGAGCCAGGCCTAAAATGTTACGTGCTACTGCAAGCCATAGCAGGGCCAAATTTTCACACTCAATGGCTAGTGTCCCGTGGAAGTTCTAAGCCTTGTTAGGTATCTATTTTGCTGTCCACTGATAGGAATATTTCCCATCATTTGGTTCACAGATCAGTTGTGAAAAAATCGCCATTAATGCTAAATTATTAATTTAAGTCCATGTTCCATCCCTTTTAGCATAAAAAGCATGCTAAATATAAACGGAAGTGAAAATATTTGTGAAAGGCCAAGTAATAGGCCGCTTATCACAGCTGCTGTTGATCTGAAATATGCTGTGTTTAGCCAATAAAGCCAGACAGAACACACCATAATCACAATGCAATGATTTGTGGACCCAGGACATACTTGAAAACGAGAGAAATCTCAATGTATCTTTCCTGGTAAAATATTTTATAAATAAATAAATTTAACCCAGTGCTGACTTTTTCAAGCTTTTTAAATGTTAAGCTTAAAAGTGACATGCCTCACCTGAAAATTATTTTTTGTAACCAGCAAGCAAACACTTTTCAACAAATATACAAAGCAAAATATAGCTAGAAAAGCTTTGAAAAGCATATAATAAAAATCTATAAACTCTGTCAGATTGCATTGGTAGGGACGCCTGTCAGCTAAGGGAGTTTCCTCAGCATCCAACTCTTTTCCACCCGTCTCAGTTTCAGACCAGTTTATTGACCAAAACAGTATCATTGTGCAGCAGCAGGAGAGAGAAACCCGACACCGGAACTGGCTCTGCATGATCTCACTGATCAACTGATTTATCACTGATAATTTAGGAGGGAAAATAAATCATGTTTACCTGCAGAGTGAGGCAGCTGTCTCAAAGTGATGTAAATGCCTTGTGCAACCTTGTGCAGAATTTGCTAAATATTATGGTCAAGATATTCTGTGAGAACGTATAACTGAGCAAATGGTACATAGAGAATTAAAAAATAAAGAAGAAGAAGAAGAAAATGGATTAAAGTTTGTTGGATATAAATTCAGTGTTCTGTGATGTCCCATGGCATATGGGATTGCTTCTCTATCATGCATACAGGTATGCTATTAGAGATACAGGGCAACTTTAAAAAGTTTAGTGACTGGAGCCACCAACTTTTTGGAATTAAAAAAAAAAAAATGGTGATGGAGATATTTTAAAAATGTAAAGGAGAGATTGTTATGATTTACCCATAAATCACTGACCTAAAGGGTAAATTTAGAAAAAAGATAAAAGGAAGACTAAGCCTATTGGAAACCACGGAGTTGAGGCAGTTTCCACGGTGACATCTAGTTTCCGTCTCCTTGGAAACAGCTGGGATTTCTCCGATAGAATATGAAACAGAAATCGTAGCCTCAGTGGACTCGTTTTTACTAATTTACATTTCTAGACGCAGTGTAGTTGAGATTAAATCCTAACCTAAATAAGTGCTCTTGTTTTCTGTCATTGAACGTAAACAATATACCCTTACCAAAATATTGTCAATCGTTTGAAGGAAAAGTAACGCTGTATTTATTTTATTATGCTTTAAACCTAACCTACAGACATTTATAGGAGAACAAATTGTAAAACTTTGGCGTAATCTTAAATTGATTGGTTTTAACACCGCATGGATGTACAAATCACTGTCTTGGCAAACACAATGGAGTATTATATTTTAGTGCTGGTAGTTTCGTGTATACATTGTGCTCAGCAAACCGCTCACAGATGTCTAGCGATAATTAATTTACCCGTCAATGCCAAGACATTAAAAGCCTCTGAATGAATACACACTTGTTAAATAATGTGCACTGTTTGGAGGTGGGCATTTTTGGAATAAGGTGGATGGTACACCTTAAGTATTGACCATGCATACTAATCAGAAGCAGTTACTAAAACACATGTTTTATGGTTCTAGAGCACATTCCATTTGCCTCACCTATATCAATGCTTTCAACATTATACTATACATTGACATGCATAACTATACATCAAATGTAGAACTACAACTACATGGATGATTTTTAAGACTGAAATTTTGTGGTAATTTAAGCCATAACGACCATATTGGAAAAACATTTTTTAGCCAATAAATATTTTTGACAGATCTGCGTCTTTGGTCCAAAATGTTAAATTTCCTGGTTAATTCTTGGCAATTTCAACAAACAACCTGTTTTGTGCTGGTTACACTGTGCGTGGATGGCTGTCTGACAGCCCTCCCTGTGGCCTTGCCCCCTGAGTTCATTGCTAGCCATTCTGAATATTTGTAGGTGTGCAGCCATTTTATGTTAATTAGCAAAGAACCAAAGAATTAATACTTTAATTGCAGGATAAATAGAAAGTGAAAATATTTGTGAAAGGCCAAGTAATAGGCCGCTTACCACAGCTGCTGTTGATCTGAAATATGCTGTGTTTAGCCAATAAAGCCAGACAGAACACACCATAATCACAATAGTGGGTTATGTTCTGCCGATAACTTTATTTTCTGCCTAAGACCGTACAGTAGTCCATAACCTTTTTTGACAGAGAATCATTCCGTGCATGAGCATAGAAATCGATTCTTCATTTGTGACTTCATGACCCCTTTAAATATCATACTATCAAATAAAATAATTGAAAAACACCTTATGTAGACTCTTCCTAGTGTTGGGTTCACACAGGTGAAGGCAATACCACTAAAATATAATGTTTCCTAACCGCAGATGATTCATTGAAATGGCATAGGGACCTACATTCGTGTCCCAATCCAGAATCAACGAAGCAGTTGGATTCATTATCATTTTTTTTTTTTTTTTTAATTTTTGCCTACTATAAAAAAATTACTGTAATTCAGTTCAATAAAGTCATCACTTTTTGTGTCAAACAGCAGTTTGGTGATTGAATTAAACTATAAGTTTAAAAAGGAAACCAATTGGAGACTGAGATGTCTTGTCATAACAGGAAACAAGTTACTTCATAAAAATAGACGTCTACCTTTCTAATTTAGATATTCAGGAATCTGATTTCTAGGAAACACAAGGTTCACATTGTTTTTAAATATCCTCCCCTGGCCTTGAACGCAGCAATACAAATATTGATGTCCTGCGTGACCTTTAAGTTCATAGACCTTCATGTTAACTTGATATACAAAACAGCTCTTTTAAAGAAACCATAATGTGTGTATGAGGGTACGGCTGTCACTATATCCTATACCAGGGATAGGCAACCTTCAGCACTCCAGATGTTGTGGACTACATCCCCCATAATGCTCTGGCAAAGCATCATGGGAGGTGTCCAAAACATCTGGAGGGCCAAAGGTTGCCTATGCCTGTCCTTTACTATAGGACCTATAGCATTAGGAAGACAACCCTGTGTTCCTAAGGCTATAGTGTTCTCCTCTGCATCAAATATAAAATGGAGGGGAAAGAGTTTTACTCTCCTATATATATCATATATCCTACAGTGAGTGCATCCACTCACTAAATACCAGCTTCAAAGCTCACAGAAATGTGTTTTATTTTTTTAAACCCCTAACTTGGACAAAATTAATAGGAATTTAGGTACAGCATATGATCATACATTGAATAAGCCTGCCACAATGCCAATGTACCCCATTTTTGTTGTATGCAAAGTATGATCATATACTGTAACTAACTAGCATTCTATTGCTCTAAACATAGAGCAGCCGTGCCAAACTACAGCAGCGCATGTCCACACTTCTATGAGTACGGAAGGGGAATGCGGGCGGGGGGTAAACAGACAGAACGGGGACACAGGAAGATTGAAGATGGGTTAGTGGAATGACGGAGAAGGGAGGTAGGCAAGCAGAATTGGAGAGGGACACTAGGTATTTCAGTAAAATGAACGTATGACTGGACAGATTGCTTTCACATCTTATGATATGATGTAACGTTCACGATTGTGCAATGATTGCAATCTATCCGGAGGCAAAGACGAAGGCCAAATACACATTTGTTCTGGTGACTGATGGGTGGGATAAACTATTTAAAAGCAATGAAGGATTTCTGCCAGCCATACACTTTCACACTGTACGCTGTCCAGCCAGCATTATCCCAGAAGGCATTACCCAAAATTCCAGAATCAATCATCTAGCCCGATTGGATATGTAAAATGGAGTTGAGCAAGAAAATTATAACTAATAAAAAAAATTAGACTAAGTTATTCTGTGACTGCTTTTCTTTATACTATCCCAAGTGACGTCAAAGCAGACAAAGAATGTTACTTGTTGAAACATTGTCTGTTCTACTTGGCTTGACGTCAAAACAACCAGTCCCAGAACAATTTGCTGTCACAGAGCCTTCTAGATATGTCGACCAGGACTGGTTTTGATTCATTTAGAGTATCCTAGAACTAGAATGTAGTAATACATCATTTTCTCTCCCTGACAATACAAGTATGAACGACTACATTACAGTTAAGTCTTGGACATCATAATAAACTGAAGGGAAATGATAGGGAAATGATAGGCTTAAATAGCCTAACGAGAATATTTCTCAGATTTGACTTTTTTTCCAGCTTAGTTATTTTGCCCTAAATAAATTGCAATTCTCCACAATTCTCAGTTTAGTGAATAAATCCCAAAATGAATATTGGATTGGATTGCGCAGTGCTTTCACACATGCTCCGTTTATTTTGCTTGCGTCAATGTTGTTGTGCTAGTGAGAGATACTGAATTGTAACCCCTTATATTAACCTAAACCTGGGTGTTATATTATCCTAAACCTGTCTCAGAAATCAGAAGCCGTGTACAGCTTTGCATTGTATAACTGGCCTTATTAGACCCATATAGGTCACATCAGGAAATACTCTGAATTACTATGCATGGAAGGTAGCCATGGCCTTCAAACAGTGTTGCAGTTATGGCCATAAAAAATAGGCTTTTAGTTTTTACATCCACGCTGCCAGAAACTGTTATTTAATTGAAACCTTACTCCACTCAGTAATGTGCTCATATTTCTGTTTTTCTTTTAATGGGTTCCTCCCTATATATCCCTGCACCAGTCTTTCCTTCTATTTGTTAGTGTTTGCAGCACAGACACCCCCTCCTGCTCCCCCCCTTCTGTAGCCAGCATGCTGTTGTGAGATCATGAGTGACAGATCCTGGCATTCTGTTCCTGAAAGCCTTAAATGGAATGCACGCTGGCTCTGGAAACTGGCACAGGTCCAGCTCGTTTCCCGGCAAAAAGGAGTAACAGGGCGGGAGGCAGGGGGGAACCCTGACGTGTTCGCAGACACGTGTGTTTCTGCTGAGATATCAAGAGGGCTGGGAGCAGGAGGGAGGTATCACTTAAAGGGATAGTAAAGAGTGTGTGTCTTCTAGAAAGCGATGCACAAACATGTCCTGTTTGTTTAAGACTTCTAGATATGCCAGAAACCTGTTAAAGGCTGATTTAAAATATAGTAGTTTATAAATAAATCAGGTAGAATGCCACATATCACCCAGCCATTCTAGATTAGACAGACTATATTATAACTTGTCATGCTGTCCAGGGTTTGGGGCTGACAGTACAAATAGCCACGTAGTGACGTTTCAGCATGTCACTAAACCTAGTCTGTTGTGCCAAACAATTACCAGGGATTTCCAAGCAGAGCATTTTTACAGTTCTTTTTTGCATATGCAGGCCATGATGGCTGCCAATCGATTCAGCAAGCACCTATGGCTATACGTTACTTCCAGACATGCTTTTTAGTTACCTCTCCAATCCACATATCAGTAATGTAATTCACGCTCTTTTTACCAGCTCTCTCTCATGTCCTGCTTTCATACATCCCAGTGGTGGAAAGTATGCTGACATGCAGATTGTATAAACGGGTGAACACCTATTGTACAGCGCTGCGGAATCTGATGGCGCTATATAAATAATAAAATAATAATAATAACTGGCTTTGCTTTTACTGCCGTCGTGAATATTTATGAATCCTAGTTTTTGATCAGTTAATTTCAACCTCTCCTTCGGAGACATAACCTGTATCAATCCATCACAAAAACCATTGTTTGAATTTTAGTAATCTTTTTTTGTTTCATTCGCATGTCTCAGTAGGTTACATTGTATTGCAAATATGAAAACACAAAGAAAGGTTACATAATGCCAGAGTGAATATTGTAACAAGGGGTACATAAGAAAGCTCAAGGCAAAAAGATTAAGTTGTTTGTGCAGTTTTCCTGCATTATGTATCTATTATATTTGTTTTGTTTTTGGGCGGGAAGGCTTAAAGGGCCAGGGTTTCTCTATTTGTATCAAACTGTGTCATTCTCAATAGTTTGACATGAAACCAAGGAAAGCGACAGTGTACTCTAGGTAACAACTAGAACAAGCCTACTAATTTTTGTTGCATAGAGACTCCTTTCAATATTGGGGAAAAACATATCTTTGTCCACCTTTATTCTCATGCTTTATTAGTCTATCGGACTTACATGTTTTGTGCTTGTTTCCACAGAGTTTGAAAAGGAAAGAGAAAGAATATGAGCATGAAATGGAACGCTTGGCCAGGGAAAAGATCGCTACACAACAGCGACTGGCAGATTTGAAGAACGAGCTCAGCCAGTGGATGGATATTTTGGAGATTGATCGAATTGTTCGTCAGACCGTTCAGCCTGAAGATGATCAGGCCTCTACCTCCACAGCTTCAGGTACACTGAATATTTTGATGACACAAATACGTGACCAACATGGTCTTATTTAGCAGGTTGATGTCAAGGCTTTCTAACCCTTTACATAATGAATTCCTTTGAAAGAACCTAACATGTTGAAAAAATATGCAGCATTGTGCCTTATGCTTGTTTTTTTATGATCGGATGGAATGTTTAACAGAAAAGAAAAAAAATGTAAATCAGAGTAATATGTTTAATCTGGAGGCAATTCAGTTCCTTCTGGTATTTTCTTTTATTGGCTGATGATGCATATACTAGTGTAAGGTAGTAAGCTTAGTATTGTTTTTTTAAACAGAACTTTCTCTGTACTCCTTAGGGCTCACAAGTGTTTTTTTTTTTAGAGCCATCTCCTACCTACAGGCTTTAAATGTCCACCTTGTGCACCTGATGGTTGCGCTGGGCTGTAAAAAGAAATCGATGCAAGGAATTAGTTTCAGAATGAAATTGGTTAGAGTAGGCATGCTTCCTGATAAAATACTTTTGATGGTTATATCCAATTATTCACACTAGTTGTGTGTCTATCATCTTTCTTTATTTTTATTTTTTTTACCTTCGTCATAATATTTGTGTCTTTTCTTTATTTATTTAACTTTTTATCCTAGCTTTTCTTATATAGCTTTCCTCTGTGGTCACATCGCAACTCTTTGGGTTCCATTTTTTTGTGTGCGACATTACCGTCTAATTTTTAGTTAATAAATATTTTCCCATGCACCTGTGTCCCCTTAATTTATCCCCTAATACCAGTATTCTACTATTCATCCCTCCCTGGCTATAGGTTTCCGTGATTGTGCTTCTACCATTTCTGTTTTCCCCATATTATTGCCATATGTTCCCCATTTCTCTCCCTACATTACCACATTCCACTGTCGCTTACGTACCTCCACTTCTTCCACCATTACCATAATCTCCCTTCCTACTGCCATAGTACCCCTTATTGCCATTACACCCACACTGTAATATGTCCCCCATTTTTCCTCCCTCCATTATTGTATTGATGGAACATGTCTTCTGGCATCAGATGTTTGCATGTATAATGCCTTTTTTTGTGTCCTCTACTTATTATACTTTATTTGCTGTAGGAGGCAGTGTGAATTTACGTTTAGTAGAATTCACATGCTTTAGTAGAAATGTAGGCCGGAGCGTTGTAGATTTTACTGGTGTTTTCAAAAATACACAGTATAGTGCCACATACATAATCGTGCAGCATATAATAGATATATTGATTGCATATTCTCTAACTTGGCAGAACGTGTAACCAGAATTCACTTTCTTTCTTTCTCTGCAAGGTCATAGTTTTGTCTGCATGGTCAGATAAATTAGCATCATGTAAGGTAATACTTTGAGAACAGAATGTTTCTTCTTTGCAGAGGGATTTGGATAAAATTTGGGGCCGACGAGGTTCAGCATAAATAAATAGTTTTAGAATTTTGCTAAGTAGTGTAACGTGATATTGCTTGGCCTTGTTTAAATACCTCTTTAAAACACAGTTTTGCCAACAGACAAATATATGGAATTCTTTGATGGAAGGGTTATAGAGCAGAAGGTGCAGGGATCCTACTGCAGGCATGTTATGGTATTAGTTAATCATAAATCTGATAAGTTGATTTTAATGTATATGCATACTCCGACTAATGTAATACACTTTATATTCAACCATAATTCTTTGTGCAATGTGCTTTGAGGGGTATTGTGAGTGAGCATACAGCATATATCTTTTGTGAAAAATACATACATCTATTAAGTGAAGGGTGACTGAAGTGCTGTATGTTGCCTTGACTAGTCCCTAATTTTATTTCTTGCTTAATAGTTAATATTCAGTGGGTACCTCCGCATTCCTTAAACTATGTAGAGTTCAGTTTAAGTTGTACTGATCGTAACCGTGAGTTGTTTGAATTAATCCAAAACGCTTTCCAGAGCTCTGTGTATCATTGCCATCCATTTTTTTTGTGTCTGGTAGCTAAAACAAGGGGTTTAGTGAAAGAGTGTTTACCCCTCTTTCCTCCCCCCCCCCCAAAGAAAAACAGGTGTCAGAGAAAAAAAACAAAACAGACACTTTTTTTTTAAAATCTATACATTTGTTGGTAAATTGTCAAAATTATGATCTGTAACATGCACTAAATAAACATTTGAATGGTAGGTGCACCTTAAAATCCCATTTGATAGAAATCTTTCTTTCGTCAGTAGTAGTTAGGACACAGTGTTCCTCTATTTTGTATTCTCCGTGTTCTGGCATAGAATCTTTATTCATAAGCCCTTTAATCTTCCCTTTCTCTTTCTCTCTTCAAAGCAAGGGCAAAATAAAAGAAGTGGTTCTTAAATTGATGGTCTGGTGTGCGTAAGTGCAACAGCAGACGCACAGGATATAGCGTTGTGGCAGAGCCTATTGCTTTCAGGGAATGTAATAGCTGTGTTGGGATAGAAGCTTAAATAGAATGGATTACATTAGGGCAACATCAATAACATATTCAGAAGGTCAAGACGAATGCTTGGGATTTCTTTGGTCTGTTTGAACTATAGGTTGCCGTTTGCTTTCTATTCGTTTCGACTACATGGTAAGAAATAAATGTCATAACATTAGTATGATGTATTAACTGAGATAATGATGTGATTGCCACTGGTTATTAAAATTTCCAAAGTGATCCCATTGGATAATGAATTTTTAACGTTTTATTTGTATGGCACTAGAAACACATTCCTATCTATACATGTGTTTCATTATCTTTTTTTTAAATCTTCTCTTTCAGAGGGTGAAGACAACATTGACGAAGACATGGATGATGACCGGCTGGTAAATTCACTGACAAAACGGCAGCAACCTGAGCTTCTGAAGATGGTTCCTTCCAGTGCAGCCTCCCACAATCACCATTCCACTGTTCTGCCTCAGCATGTGTCCATTCAGCAGAAGCAAGCTCCATCCCCGCACGCACAGCCTCAGATCTCCAACCAGTCCCTGGTCCCACCTCAGGCCCTGCTGCCAACACAGACTCATATTGTGGCTGCCTCAACAGTGCAGTCAACAGTGATAGCCCACACGGCCACTACTCATGCGTCCGTCATCCAGACTCTCAATCATGTCATCCCGGGGCCTCAAACCAAGCACATTGCTCATATTGCACCTTCCACGTCAAGCCCTGTACAATTAACCACTGCTGCTCAGCCAATTGGCCACATCACTGTGCACCCAGCTACCATTAATCATATGACCCATCTCGGCCAGCCGTTACCCATCTACCCCCAGTCTGTTGCTGTAAGTCAGCCCATGGTGAGCCACATCGCTCACACCATCACTCACCCGCAAGTTAATGGAACCACAAACCTAGGTCAGCCAGCAGTTATGGCAAAGCCAGCGGTGGGGACCCAGGTGGTGCACCATTCCCAGCTAGTTGGGCAAACCGTTCTGAATCCGGTGACTATGGTGACTATGCCATCGTTCCCTGTCAGCACCTTGAAGCTAGCCTAAACACTCACAACTAAAAGTCAAGTAAGAATGAATTTAATAAATAAAATAAGTTATCCAACAGACAGCTTCTACAGAAACTCCATACATTCCTACAAAGTCATTTTCCAAGGATGAGAAGATCAGACATTGTCTAAACTGGGTTAAAACCCACACAGTCAGTCACTTTGAAAAAGGCCGGCTTCCGGGGGCCTCTCTCTATAACACAACATAGAGTCCAGTGCACTGAAAACTTACCATACTCATTGTCTCAGTGGCAGCAGCTCATATTGACTTTATTTTTATTTTGTTCTACTTACAACCAATGAATACTGAATGAGACATTACATTTTATCCTCTACTCCACTCATACTTTTATTCTTTTTGTTTTAAATTTTTCTTTGAATATTACATTGTAGTATACAAATTGATAATCTCTTTTGGACAAAGGCAGAAACAGACATTGTCACGGTGAGAAGACTTGCTGTAGTAACAGCTGCAGGACATACAAATAAAATATATATAAAAATATATTTAAACATTAAAGTTTGGGAAGCATAATCGAAAAGTGAAAAATAAATATGGCAAGCCCTCTCTTTTTCCCGCAGAGGTCAGCAATGAGCTGGCATCAAATAGCTGAAAGCCTATGCGGCTCTAAAGAGTACTTTATTTTTAAAAAAAATTCTGTTTTGACTGTTTTAGCAAATCGCAAGCATTACTCTTGGTTTGGTGGTCCAGAGCATAATTCCCATTATTCGGAAATCTGGAAAATAGTCAATATACAAATCCTGAGCATATTTATTCCATTTGATTTTTTTTTTTTTTTTGTAACCCCTATGTCTATTGTAGATAATTGGCAATTGACAAATTGTGATCAAAATCAAAAGCTTTTTGATAGTATTATTACGCATGATTGTCTTTAATTTTACTAATATAGGGAACATGGAAATGTTAGTTACAGTGTTTAAAGGAAAAATGCATACAGAATTTAAAACGCTTTGTTGTGCCCCCTAGAGGTCATTTTAAAATACTACGTTGCTACATATTTGCTATGCAGTGTTTTGCCGTAGGACACCTCAACCTACTAAAGGTTCCACAGTATCTGTTAAAAGTAATTTGCATTGGCATTTCTTCTCGTGCCTTGAAGTGTCTTGTGACAAATGACTCTTAGTAAATGAATGCTATATTTATTTTGCCCCCACATCATCAGTTGTTATTCTGCGCTATTTTTAGTACAGTGAATTAAATGCTTAATTTGGTAACTATAGCCCAAACAGAGGCAACATTAAGGCTAAGAGAATGGGGCTTAGAGTCTCTTTGAAATCTCCACAGAGAGTCATATTATATATAGTTGTGATTTAGAAAAAAAAAAAAATATATATATATATATGTATATATATATATACACAAAATTCTTCATAGAATCAATACCGTTTTAAGCACTGAAAATTTCACTTCTAAAGTGAAATATGGAGTTTGTGCCATTAAATTTGTTTTATATATTATTTTTTTTAATTAATTTATTAGCTTTTTATTGTCTAAACTTGTTATCAAATCAATACAGATCTATTTTTTTTTTTTTTTATATATAGTCCTACACAGCTGACTTCAGACATTCATTTTCATAAAGTATACCTTCACTTCATAAAACCATACGTTAAACTGGAGAACATTAAATATCAACTTATTTACGCTAAAGTGAATATTTGATTTTAGCCTAACTGCAGTGTAACTCCTTTTACATAGGAATTAAAGGCAAGGGTAGAATTCCCTATTGTCTTAAACTTTTTTTCCCCCCATTAGCTATACAACAAATTACAAAGAATTAACAGCCAATCAAACAAGCAGACTAGATGCATACTGATCATTGCTGCTTTCTCAGCACAAGAGATGAATAATGCAAGTCTTAATTGCTGTACTATACAGAAGAAAATAAAGCAATATATTGACCTTTTTATATATTCCTTTAATTACTGTAAAGTTGAAGTGACTTTGAATCTAATATTCAGTATTTGTAAAAAAAGACTATCATGTGTAAAAAAAAAAAAAAAAAAGAAAATCTAAAAATTACAATTGTTTTAAGTGTTTTTGCATGAAGACATTTTGGGATTGTTGGCAATGCGTTGATAATCGGTAAATGAAAATTGTCAATGACATTTTCCATTTTATTATTCAACATGCAGAAAACTTAAATTATTTTCACTAACATAAATCTATATAAATTTGCACTTTTTAAAAAAAAAAATCATTTCTCATGTTACATTTACAAGCAAAGGCATGTAAAGTACTGATTTAAAGAAATCAGCTGTAACTCACTCTTCATACAGAAAATAAGTTGAAACAAGTTTTATCAATAATTTCAACAAACCACTGCAAACAATTGATTGTTTGGGGACATTTGCCATTTTAGCAGCTTTTAAGATTATTGCAAACCTTTGCATTTTTCCCTCGAAAATTTAACATTGGTTCAAATAGTACAGAGGTTTATTTATATATGGGGTTATTCAGTAAGGGCAGAATTGGCATGAATTCACAGTAAATTTGAAATTTAGGGCCAAAGAAAATAAACTGGAAACATAGCTGACTTTTATTTAATTTTTTTTTTGTCTTTTTTTTTTTTTAGTTCAGCTATTGTCCTAAAATTCAGAACTTACTTTGACTACCCGAAAATTCTACCTTTAGTGAATAACCCTGTTAGTCTTTTTATGTCAGAAAGAGAGTAAACTGGGGGACAGGGACATACTAACTATTTTAAATTATAGGTATGCATCAGTTTTTTCTCATGTGCTCAGGAGATATTCCCAGCATGCATCTAGGCCCTACTCAAAGATTGGCTGCTCACTTTACTTCTGGATCATCTTTCTAACAAGTTTTAAAACTGGTGCCAAAACTGATAAATACGAGGTCCAAACAAAACCCCAAACTACTTAAAACATAATGATTTTCAAAGCAGTTTGACTGAAATCTGTGATTGATTGAATTTTTTTTTTTTTTTTTTTAAATGCCTGACATTAAAAAGGGGGTTTTTGTTGTAAAATTTTGTTTATACTTTTATTAGGTAATGATTTCAGCTTTTATATTCCTTTTGTTTTGAAGACTCACACCAATTGCACTTGAAATTGTTGTTTTTATTTACTAGACACTTAAATGACCCATCAATATATACATCTTTTCACTCTTTCCTTTTTTCCCCACTAGCCACCTAGCTGGTCCATATGATTATAGTTAATATTATTATTAATGTTATTATTTTTAGAAAGGCACATTATCATGTTTTTTTTTTACCACACTATAGATGTGAGAAAGTGATTTGGAATGCCACTGCTACCAGCCTTAAACCCAGTACAGACACAGTCACAATGTTATGGCTGATTACATCAGCTCCTGCCCTCCAACCAGCGTTCTCAAGGCAGCTTGCTTATTAGAAGTTCTTTGTTGGAATTGAATACACAGATACTCATAATGGCTTTACCATCACTAAGCAGCTGAATAGGGGAAATCTGTAAATTGTTCTGTTTGCCTCCTCTTTTTAGAACAACATTGGGCTTCTCTTGTTATGCCCCTAATTACAGTTTTTTTTCCTAATATCATACCAATCAATCCCCACCATTCCCATGCCCATCTTACCACTCTCATTTCATTAATTGCTGCACTCCTATTTAGACCAAGAATGTGTCAAGAGACTTGGTATTAATGTGAGCCATTCATGCATAGAATGTTTGTTTCCCAAAGGTAACTGTATAGTAAATAAGTATATACTGCAAAAAAAAAACCTTTTTCAGAATGTTCTATGTTACGTTATAATCACCCCATTTTCTACGATAGAAATGTCTGCACTGGGAAATTAAAGTAGCTCCTGGAGGGCCATTGCCATTTTACACGCACCATGCCACCCCACACAGTAAAAGGGCCAAAGCAGGACCCTCCACATTTTACAAACGCCATGCCACCCCCACAGTAAAAAAACAAAGTACGACCCTCCCCATTTTGCAAACACCATACCACCCCACACAGTAAAAGGGCCAAAGTACGACCCTTCCCATATTACAAGCACCATGCCATCCCACACAGTAAAAGGGCCAAAGTACGACCCTTCCCATTTTACAAACACCGTGCCACCCCACACAGTAAAACTAGGCTGTTATGTTAAAGTGTCTAAATAGTCTATTGTTAATTAGCATATTGTGCTACTCAACTATTACACAGTGACATCACAAAGGATTTCATAAAGTTACTCAATTGATATATATATATATATATTTTTTCCCCCCAATGTACATTTGCTGCATATACTGTACTTTATAGAAAGAGATAACCTTACCTTTTTTTTTTTTACCTTATTATTTACAATTATACATTGGACAGGCATTTGTTTGTTTGTTTTTACAACCCTCCTCCTCTTTTTAATATTTGCCAGGTTTGCTTTAAATATAGCATACAATAATTTCTTACTGTACAACCAACCAACCAAGGAAAATATGCTTGTGTCCTCAATTCCACTTTACTACACTGTAGCCGATCAGAAGCAATCTCTTAGCATTAATTACAAATGCATTTCGGCACCACAGTTCTACGTGTTAGAAAATCTAAATATACTGGCTTTGTTTGCAATGAGTGATTTGTCATTTAAATCAAAAGCTTTTATAAAAAAAAAATCCTTTATTATTCATTTTACATATATGTGTATACATATGTATGTAATGCTAGGTATTTATTTATAGGTATAAATATATTTTGGTAAACATTCCTGTTCATCATTGTTACAGCATACAATCACTGTGATGATTGCTTTGTTTGTTTTTTGTTATAATGGTGTTCAGTAACAATTACTGTTAATAAAATAGGGGGGGAAACGCGCGGGGATGGGAAGGTGAATCACTGTTATCAATTTACAAACGTTTCATTTTCCACTGTCTGTTTAAAGAGATTATTATGCCTACTTAAAGAAAAAAAAAATGAACATTTTATTTATTTAACTCAATTTCCTTTTTATTTTTTACTTCTGTTCCTGAGCTGCTTTGTTTTGGGTTTTAACTTTTTTTGCACAACAACATTTCTCTTTGCATTTTAATATCCGTTATCCTTTAATTATTTCAGAGATCTAATGTGGCTGCTGTTTTAAAATGTACAAAAAGGCTTCTATTATCAGGAAAATAATTAAATATATTCCTTTAAAAAAAAAGGGGGGGGGGATTAGAAATAAAAGATTTATGCGATTTATACCTTGTAAACATAACAGATATCCTCATGTTCTTATGTAATCACAAAGCTAACAAGGTTAAAAAAAATGTTCTTTAGTTTTAAAGTCCACACTTTGGGGGGAAGGACACTTAAGACACAAACAACTTGGATTAATCAATACACTGCCCAAATACAGACAAAATACAAAATCACTGTTTTGTAGATATACCCTCAATGAAAACATGCATGCATTCAATAATGCATTTTTTTTTTCGTTGGGGGTATAACATAACATAAATCTTATATAAATGTGCACACTTTTTTAAAAATAATTTTTCATATGTTATATTTGCAAGTAAAAGGCATATAAAATACTGATTTAAGATATCGGCTCTCCATACAGGAAACAAATTGAAACAAGTGTCATCAATAATTACAACAAACCACTGAAAAGAATTAATTGAACATGGCTTAATATTGTATATCTAAAAACAGCTGGCAAAAGCTGAAGATATTATTTTGTCTGAAATTTTTTCAAGACCTCCCTTTCTTTCCCAGACCAGACTTTCTGTGACTGTCCAATCAGAGACTTCCCAATGTAGTGCAATTAAATGGTTTTGCAAGGCAGGTACTCTGGGCAATCACCGGTCTATTGACTTAAGCTCCATTGAGCTAAACAACCAGAAAGTAACTGGACCAGTTGTCTGACAGTCATTTATTCGATTAAAATCTGCACATTTTGTAAAATTTAATAATAAAAAAAAAAAAGAGGGCACATGCCACACAGAGCATTTAAGCAAGCTGCAAGCTGGTGTGCTTTAGGGGTCTGGATTATCCATTTATTAGCTAAAGCATACTATGTGTTTTAAGACACTTATATAATTACATAACTTTTTTCATAGGGTTGCCATCAAAGGTTCTAAACCCAGCTTTAATTTGGAAATAAAAGCTGGAAATTGAGCATGCCTTAGATATTTGCCTTCATTTTATGAGTCTTGGCATTACAATATCTGACAGTGCAATGTGTTACTAATATGCCAAGCAGCAAGTTTATTGTTCGTTTCTGTGCTAGGTTTCTCTTTGAGATTTCATGAGGGGAAAAACAATTCTACACACTGGTTATTCCACTTGTTAAGAAAAAAATTATTGCCAAACAATATTGCCACCATTTGAAGGAAAAATCTAAGTATTTTCATACTAGGTATGACAAGATCTTGGGTCTTCAATTTAGTTTCAAATGTTTAGTGAATAAACAAAGTGTTTCATTGTATCCTCAATGTCTCACCTTGCTTAGGCCCTACTAACTAGCTCTCTACCTCTAAAATTCATGAGGGGGTACTCAAAACCCTCACTTACAATGCACACAGTGCCAGTGCTTTGTTTACTGTAGTAGAAAGTGGTAAAATTATGTTTTCTTCATGTAACATTGAAGCAAACATAAACCCGTGACATTTTTTTAAAAATAAATAAAAGTGGGATGGTGGGTCCCTAGAATCCACATATTAATAAGCACTGGAATTATGACAACACCAAATATAGCAAATTATAATTCAAATTGCAAATTAAAAAACAACAGAGCACAACTATAGACAGTTTGGCTGTTGCCTTCATTTTGCAATTTGATTTTCAAGTGACCACAATTCTATTTTAACAAATACTCAAAACAAATTTAACCATTACGTGCTTAGAAAACCATGTAGAGTCATGCTCTTAAAACTACAGAAGGGAGAGACTTGAGCATCCCTTTTATCTGATGTGCAATATTATGGTGGATTAGGGCTCTTGGCCCAAGTGTTTTTTAATGCATGAAACTATAACCGCCTCCTGCGCATGTATGAGCCCTAACTCAACCAAGGGAAATATTGAATGGTTGGTGGAATAAAAATAAAATTAATTTTGTTGTAACTAGTAAATATAAACCCAGCACCTAAAAATAATCCCTAAACCTGCCATTATTATATTCTTTTTTTATTCTTTTTTTTTTTTATTCTTTTTTTTTGAAAGTGCAGGTTTAAACTTACAAGCAGGCAGTGTCACAACAACAGCTGCATGCACAGCAGATGAAGACAGAGTAAAACAGTGGTGTGACATACTGTAGCAGGTATTAGCACCCTTTTACATTTTTGTATTGAACGGTAAGGCGTGCGTGAACAGTGGGACCTGGACTCGCGATCCCTGTAGGAAACCATGTAAAGCGTGACTGATCATTGGGAGGTATCGCGGTCCTTGTTCCTCTTGCGTTTCATATTAGTTAACATGCGTGCCAGTATTCTAGCAAGAGGAGGAATACTCACTCTACTTGTTAGCATTATTACAAGAGGGGCGAGTGAGTGGGTGGAGGGTGGATTAGAAGGTAGTATACTCCCTATGCCAGCGAGTGTGTGAGGGTAGAGGAGATAATCTCTATGAGTAGTTTAGTGTTAGAACAATTGACAATAAAAGTGGTCTAAGTTGCGTAAAGCATTTCAGGAAACGATCTAACATTATAAAATCAAACAAATATAAAAATAAGGCAGAGTCACTGCTTGCGTTTTATGGCAGTTCAGGGTACTGTGGTAGTGGCGGGGTCACTCCGCAGGGCAGCTGGAACAAATGGGCGGATTCTCGAGGGGTCCCAGGTTCGTGGCTGTGTGTTAGGCGTTGATGTCGGTGATCCTTCCGAAGTTGCCGGTATCCCGAGTTTCTGTAGGATGCTGGGTATTTACGTATCCTCGAAAACTTTCAAAGTCCCAGAATCATGGGGGATCAGAAGACTCCTTGGTGTTCCCCATCTGTAAGGCACCTTGCATTTTGTGAGTGCTGCGGTCAGGGGTCTCAGGGACCGTCTCCAGTCTAGGGTTGCCCTGGACAAATCCGGGTAGAACGTCAGCTGGTGATCTTCAAACGTGTAAGGCGACTTGTTACGGGTGGCTGCTATGAACACTTGCTTGTCAGGGCCAGCTTGGAAGCGTATTATAACATCCCTGTGTGCTCCTGTAGCTGTTGCAGGTGGAGCTGGGAGCCTGTAGCAGCCGTCCAGTTGCATCTGTTTGGCGGGGAACAACTAAGCCAGAAGCCTCCGGATCAGGTGAGGTATTTCAACCGTAGTAACTGTGTGGAAGGCTTCGGACCTTCATGTTCTTCCATTGTGGCCATGTGTTGTCGTAATTTTGCTTGTTCGGACCGTAATGCGGTGAGTTCCTGCTCTAAGATTGTGAGTCTCGTCTCATGGCCTGCTACGGTCACCTCCGCATTGTGTAGGCGGGCCGAGACTCCGTTAATTTCGTCTCTGAATGCAGAGATGTCGGTGGCAATATTGCGGCGTAGTTCGTCCAGGAGGGCCTTTAGGGTGGTTTCTGTCACTGGGGTCTCAGAGCCTGAATTAGTCGGTCTGCCAGTCTGCTTGCCTCTTGCCAGCGTCTCCAGTTCTCTCAGGTCGGTGAGGGAAGCTTCGCTGGAGGAGTAAGACGGTCCGTCCGAGGCAGGCGCCATGACAGGTCTCGCTGAGCTCTGGGGCCTCCAGAGGAGATTGTTTTGTTGTCTGTATAGCCGGAGCTCCCGCAGGACGCGTCTGTTCAGTTAGGTAGCTGGCTCCGCCCCCCCCATAATTATATTCTTATTGCTATTTAACATTCATGCATCTCCCATCTCAGATTTCTGGAAATTCTTAATCTAAAATCCAGAATGTGCTAGTGATCAGATTGTAAAATAACAGCAAAACCTACAATTTTATTAAAGGACATGGAGGCTCATATTATGCTTATCTCCTTCTTTATTATACCTCAGCAGCAAAGAGAAGTTATAAGATATTCATAGAAAAAAACCTAGAAACAAGTACTCAAAGCGTTAACATAGCATCATAACCCTTAACCAATGGGGACAGTCCACATATCAATAACCACCCATGTGACCTTAACTCTCCCTCTTTCTTTGCTGCTGCCGAAGCTAAGTATTACCCAGTTTTAGCTCTCTCTACTTCCAGGGGAGTTCTGTTTGTATTTGCTGGATTTATGTATATCTATGTATATTTATTTATGTATATTTCTGTCATAAAGGTTGTCTAGGTGTTTAACATTTTTTTTCCCGTGCTTTCCCGCCCTCCCCGGCGGCAAACCCCTCCCTCCCTCACCTCTTCGGGTAGTTTATTACCTGCTCACCTCCCGGCAACCCGGTTCCCCTTCCCTGGGACACCCCGCTGGGGCTGTTTGCCCCAGCGCGGATATTACATATACGAGCGCCACTGGCGCTGACATGAATTTTGCCGCACTTTTCCCGGCGCCCCCTGCATCCTGAGGGACGGGCGCGACCAGATTGGTTGCAAGCTGTGGCTTGCAGCTTACCAGTGCTCCCTTGCGGCCATTCCGGAGGGAACACTCGGTAAGCTGACAGCCTTTTTTGCTTGTGCCTTGCCCTGTCAATACTACCTTGCCACATAGGTATATTACAGGCATATACATATAAACATATTTAATTCTTGTGCATTCACATGCTCCCACTGGTAATTATTGGATTGTCCCTGGCTTTGCTAGTTGAACTGATTCAGGTGCTTTGGTTAATATGCAGACCCCCAAGGATCAGGAGGTTTCCTCCCCTACTGCTGCCAATAAGGGCACCAAACACCGCGTGTCCCCTACAACATGTCTAATCTCCCCCCAGGGAGTGGATGTGGCATCCATGGAGCAACTGAACTCAGAGGAGTTCTATTCACTCCTAGATGCAACAATGACCAAATCGGTCACCCAGGCCATATACACGGCAATGTCAGATAACCTGACCCAATCCATCAGCAACACCATCTTGGCATCTAGCCATAACCCTAGCGGCCTCCGCCCCAAGGCCCAAGATAACAAGCCTGTATCCCACAGCGGCCGCAAGGCTACAGAAAAGACCTACCATGTGGGCAAGCAAACCTCCAAAACGATTATGATGGATAGGATGCGCCTTGTCAATAGTGAGGACATGGAGCCCCCACGTAAACGAGCCACCCGCCGGGCAAAAACGGTGAGGGCATGGAAATGGGCAAAAGCCCTAACAGATGTATCTGACTCTGATTTGGACCCTGAGGAGGTATTGAGCGAGTCCGAAGAAAGCGGCTCTATTTACTCGGAGAACTCTTCTCCAGATCGCAGCCTGGCAGTAAAAGCAGCCAACACCGATAAGGTGGCCGCGGACGATTCCACCATTCTAGACCCGCAGGGTGAACCCCTATTTAACTCGGATGACGATATGTTGATCATGGCACAGGACACCCTCTTACTTCAACAAAACCTATCTTGGGCGATATCTCTCCTACACAACCTGGGATTCCTAATCAACTGGGAGAAGTCGGTGCTAACCCCCTCCCAGTCCATAGAATTCCTAGGATTCAATATAGAGGCAGTCAAAGGGACCCTAAGCTTACCGCTCACAAAGATCAAAACCATCAAGAAGGAGATTCGCAGAACGTTGGCTCGCCCAACTCTCACCTTGAGACAACTGGCCAGGATAATTGGACTCCTCTCGGCCTCCATACAAGCGATCTTCCCAGGCATTACAGGGCCCTACAGAGACTAAAAGCCGCTCCGCTACACTCAGGTCACTCCTACTCAGACTCCGTTCCACTCGATCATACAGCCAAGGATGAACTCAGTTGGTGGCTGCACCACATGGAAGCGTGGAACGACAGAGCAATCTTCGGCACCGCCCCAGATTGCATAATAGAATCCGATGCCAGCACACAAGGTTGGGGAACGCGTTATGGTCATCCCTCCACAGGCGGAAGATGGTCCCAATCGGAAAGGGAACTACACATCAACAGCCTGGAACTCATGGCAGGATCATTTTCACTGAAAAGCCTCTTAGGTCTCACGACACATTGCTCCATCATCTTGAGGATGGACAACATATCGGCAGTATGCTACATCAACCGCCTCGGCAGCACCAGGTCCAAAATATTGCCAGATTTAGCAACAGAATTCTGGCAATTTTGCTTGGAGCGCCACATATCAGTACGAGCCGAATACATCCCGGGGCTCTCGAATACCATAGCGGATTGGAACTCCAGACACCAGCGAGATGCTGGCTCCTGGACCGCGGGGCGCTCCTATGGCTACAAACGCTTTGGGGCCCGACATACATAGACCTGTTTGCATCTCGATTGAATACGCAACTCCCAGAGTTCTTCAGCTGGAGACCAGATCCAGAGGCTTTAGCTACGGACGCATTTCTACAACCATGGCCGAACAGACGACTGTACGCATTCCCCCCTTTTGCTCTGCTGGCCCGGACCTTGGTACACCTCAACCGTTCACAGAAATCCCTGGTTCTCATATCGCCATTCTGGACAGCGCAGCCTTGGTTCCCTTCACTCATGGAAATGTCTATAGACCTTCCCAGACTGCTTCCTGAGAATCCACATCTCCTTTCAAACCCCAAAGGGAACCCACATCCACTGATGATGCAGGGCCAACTCAAGTTGTTAGCGTGGCTCCTTACCAGGGACCCTGGGTCGTGCCAGACGTTCCACAATCAACTCTCAAACTACTGACGGGAGCCTGGGCTCCAGGAACAAGGAGATCCTACAGTCTGGCTTGGAACTTGTGGAGTGGTTGGTGCATGGAACAACAAGTGGATCCCGTATGTGCCCCTGTGAACTACCTGTTACGTTTTCTTACACTTCTATACGACCAAGGTCTAGCGTACCGGACTATTAATGTCTACAGATCAGCGATCTCCGTTGCACACAAGGGTATAGAAGGATCCCCAGCAGGTAAACACCTCCTGGTATGCAGACTCTTACGTGGCGTTAGATTTGCAAGACCACCACAACCTCGATATACATCAGTATGGGACGTGAACGTAGTATTAACCATATTGGAAAAATGGCCACAGAACTCAAATCTCACACTTAAACAACTATCAGCGAAATTGGCCATGCTCTTCTGCCTGATATCATGCAAAAGAGTCTCAGATGTCCGAGCATTGGATGTTGATGCACGCTCATTTACCCCAACGGGAGTGACATTCAACATCTCCAGACGTACTAAATCAACAATCTCATCAGTGTCATACACAGCATTCCCTCACAATGCAAACCTATGTCCAGTGGCCTGTCTCAAAGAATACGAGAAACGGACTCAGGCATTTCAAAAGACTAGGCATCGTGAATTGTTTCTGGCAATTAACACACCACACCAACTAATATCTACGGTAACAATAGCCCGATGGGTGAGATGGATAATGACCTCTGCGAATATAGATACCTCCATATATGGGGCACAATCCACTAGAGGAACCACGGCCTCTAAGGCTTTTACTTTGGGATGCAGATTAGAAGACCTTTTGAGAACGGCAGACTGGTCCCGCGAATCCACCTTCAAGGAATACGATTTTCATCCTACAGACCATGTATCATCGACAGTTATTGCACAGCTTTAAACTAGCATAATATGAGGTGGCGTTCTCCTTGTTAACTGTTGGCTTTGCGGTTACTGCCATTTTAGGTGAGACTCATGGTCTGAGCAGCGGTATGGCCTTGTGTAGCGGAGCTGCAATATTAAATCCCAATATCTCCGCTGGTAAAAGAAAGTAATCCAAGAAAAGCGCTGAAATGAAGGCAATATCCCAAATCCCCCAGTAACCGGACAAAACACAGTACTGGGAGTCAACTGAGGTTTTTATTCACATGTTCCAGTATTTATGTGGTTCCCCATGCAAGGGGTTTCCTTAATCATTTTACAGGGGTTGTACAGTAGGGGACTACATGGGGAACTGAACATGCAGGACATTTTCCCCACCATGCACTGCTGTACGAGAGGGATACTCCCACAGAATATCCTGTTAAGTGGATTATCCCTCCGTACAGCAGAACCGGGCTTTTCACTGAAAAATATGTAACTGGCACATTATTCGACATATGGGTAGATAGCTGGGATATGAACGCATACTTCGGTAGTTTACCGCTCAGATCCCAGCACAAATGCCAAACACCACACAAGATACCTTTTCATATGATTTTAGTTCCAGGCACTCGACGACCAAACACCGCTGGGCTAAAAGTGAATCCAAGATGTCCGCTGCCACTTGGTCGGTATCCGAACCGCGGGCCATCCCGCTAATCAATTAACTGGGAAACGCTACAATGTTGCAATCTGTTAATGGGAGCCACACAACCTCCTGTGTGTGGTCTCCCATTCGGTACTTTGTTCATTTCACGAACAGTGTTGAAAGTCACTGTTTTCACAAACAGTGTTGAAAGTCACTGAAGCTACCATATGAATGCTAGCAGCTTTCGCGCCACTAGCATACGAATGCCCTCTATCACCTCTATAAGCGAACACACAAAACAACATAGGTTAAACAGCCTTTTCATGACAACCACTAGAGATATAAAAGATAGTCTGAAGTGGCTAGGTTTGCCACAATGCTCCCCCAGAACCAAGCCAGCATACACAGTCTGATCCCAACGGATCTGCTTGGGGATGTCCGGAGGAGTACTCACCGATCACGTTTCA